GGGGATAAAAGTTTGAAGAATTGTTCATTTGTTGGCCCAGTCAATTGAAGAAAGGTCTTTTGTTAAAGAGAAGTAGGGAATTGTACATTGGAATGACTTAAAACTGTAACCTTTGGTTGAAGACTATAAGTCTGGAATCATCAGATTCTTATCTATATGATCTTAAAGATATAACAGTGTTTTATCTTGAAGTTAAGTTGGTGAATTATTGAGAAAAAATCTTGTATATTACTGGGAACAATACCATGGCCAACTGCAGTTCAATTTGTACAAACTATTGGCTCTATAACAGGCAAAGTTTGGTCTTTACATGTTCACAAGGAAGCTCAAAGTTGAAATACCAATTGAAAGTTTATGGCTGCTTGAGACCAGACCACTAAGTCAATACATTTTACAATTGTCTACAGTTTTACATATTTAATTTGTTGGTTTTCAGGTCTTTCTTCTTTGAATAAGAGAAATATAAAACTGTAGATTTTTCTTCCTCATACTTGAAATGTTCATATGAATTTTTTGTTTTTACTATAAATTGTAAGTTGGTCATAGTTCTCTATGGGTATCAGTGAATAACTAATTTAACATGTTACTGAACTGATAATGAGCTGATATTTATTGTAGCCTGGATGTTTTATATCTCTTAGCTACTTAAATAGAACATCTTAAGTAACATATAAACACAGTTTGATAATATATTATACTATATATATACATGTATATCATTGAAAGTTTTATGATTATATACTGTTTGCTGATTTTGCTTCAGATAGGGCCAATCTAAAATACAATTAAATTCTTTATAAATAAGATTTTTATTTTTTGGACAAAACCATATACCTTTTGTTATGTTTAGGTTAAAGTTAAGATACAGTGTCTCTCTCTTTCATGTAGTGTTATGTAATAAATCTTTCCATGAAGAAATTTCTAGGGTCTTTAAAACTTACTCATGGAGAGTTTTTGACTTAAGTCCAATATATGGCATGTTTGTTTAAAGTTGATTCATTGTTAAATAAAATGCATACATTCTTATCTAGTGAAATATCAACCTTGTAAGACTGCTTAAACGATATGCATTTTGAACCTTTGGTGTTATTTAATTAAAAAAACATAGGAGAGAGTTGTTGCCTTTTGGCAATTGTGAAACATGGTGTTAATCACAGTTAATAAATGAGGACAGAAGACTGCCTTATTATTTAACCTCCTGGCTACATTACTGAGTTATAGTTTTTCAGTTAATCATGTGATGGGACATACGTTTTTTGGTTTCTTTATAATTATTTATTTATCTTCCTTAAGATCTGGGAAAAAAACAACGTAAAAACTACCCCAAACTTACAAAACACAGTTATACCACAATAATACATTCATTGCTATTTTGTTTTGCTAACAAAATACAAATGAGCCATGTCACAACAAAACCAACATAATGGGTTTGCGACCAGCCTGCGCATCTGCGCAGTCTGATCAGGATCCATGCTGTTCGCTTACCGACTCCATTACAAGTAGAGAAACTGATAGCGAACAGCATGGATCCTGATCAGGCTGGTCTGGATTCATGCTGGTCACAAACGCACTATGTTGGTTTTGTCATGACACGGCTCAAATGTAGAACATGATGAAACTTTATAAACTTAAATGTTTAAAGTGTCTAATTTCACACATTTTATTTGTTATTAAAGATGATATATCTAATATATTATCTCTTTGGTAGAAATTTCAAAAAAGCATGCATGCATGATGTATAGGATAGAAAAATAAAAAAGTTGTTAAACATATAGACAACATATAGTTGTAGTGCAAGATGTGAATACTGATTAGGTCCGTGTAGAATGATACTTTTATGTTTGACATTTATAACCAATTTAAAACCATGCCTTCATTAATTGCAATATTTACATTTTGTGTATTTTTTCTTAATTTCATTTATTTCATGTTTTTGAATTTCCAAAATAATATTTCTGTTAATCGTTATGCTTTGTTTATATAAAAATAATAAGATGCATTGTTTATAATAATAATTATATTAATTGTAATAAGATGCATTGTTTATAATTGTTTTATCCATTTACTTAAACAAAGTTGCTTTATACTGTAACTCGTATTATCCTCCCCATTTTGAAGAAAAAAGTTGAGCTGTTATGATTGCAGCATCCTAGTTGTCCTCAATATGCAAAAACTTTAATGTTGCCCTTTATTCAAACATTTCAAAAGTTATCAACATAAAATTTCGACTTCTTACTTATCAGGTTAGTTGTTAGACAAGGGGCATAATTCTGAAAGGTATATTTTTAGAGTTATGCCCCTTCTTCAAAATTACTTATCAACAGTTGTTGCCTTTAACAGATGAGCGTTAACGCATGCAATGCTCATGTTTTTTTTGTTAGATTTTTTCTTTAGTTTTGTCTGGTATGTGGAAGAAATTTGAATTTTAAATCAGATTGAATTATTTATGAACACAATAATTTTCGACTGGTATTGTTTTTGATTATAGCAATCTTAATTACTTCATATGCAAAGCCAAATTGGTGCCAGAATAGGAAAACATCTAGTAAGGCTATCAAAAACCTTATCAAATGACCTTTTGGCTGCCCAAGAATAAACATCTTTGAATCCTTCTATTTTTTATACCTTTTTTTCTCTCCTTGAGAAACATAAAATGTACCCTTTGTTACAGCCACAACATTGAGGATGAGTTTCACTGTATTTCTAATTAACAACAGTGATTGCAAAAACAGAGGTAGGCTTGGTCTGAAAGTAAACAATAAAGCTTTATGAAGTTCTAAGAGTGAGGTAGGAGGTATATAAGTTCTCTGATATTACAAACAAAAAGGAACATTTATTTCATTTCTTTATAACATTTCATTGTTTTATCGCAAGATTTGTTTTGCAGGTGTTATTATTTTGTTTCATAAGAATGTTGAATTTTACACAATTATGCAGTGTTGCCTTTTTTGCATAAGACTCAGCCTTTTACTTGGCAAGAAGTTGGTTAGTTAAATTATAACATAATAAAGTTCATGTTTTGTTTATGATTTCAGGAGAAAAAATGCCCTGATCTTGAGGACGCAACTTACTGTCCGAGTACATGCTGTGATAGGTAAGTGTAACCATGTGACCTTCACCTTCTTAGTGACCCTTTTAGTTATATAGAATAAGCTTTACTTTGAGTATCAGAATGCTAAACAGTATGTTTGGCCCTCAGTAAATTTCACTTATATGTGTAATTATACTCATTTCTGTTTGATAAATAGTAATTTTAGCTTTATTGATCTTTATTTAATGTCAATTGCATTCGATAATTTACACTTACTTTGTTTTTGAAAATAACTTTACCATAATATAATTACCTTTACAGGGTTAATTTACTGATTAATAATGGTCTTGGGACATTGTACTTGATATTGATGATGATCTTTGCACTATCAAATCTGTCTGTGACATGATCACTGATCATGGAAAGGATCAAAGTGTAAAGATTTACAATATCCTTCATTTATCATTAGAGCTCATCAAATACAGTATAGTTTTTAGCTTGACTATTCGATAAGAATAAGAAGAGCTATAATTGTAGTCACCCGAGCGTCCACGTCCGCGTCGGCGTAACCACTTATGTTAAAGTTTTTGTAATACCTCAAATATTTTCAAAGTCCATAGACATATGGCTTTGAAACTTTGCACACTTGTTCACCATCATGACCCCAACCTGTAGACAGGGGGAGGTAACTGTATCAAGCATTTTGACAGAATTATGCCCCCTTTTTCGACTTAGAATTTACATTTAAGTTTTTGTAATACCTCATATATTTTCAAAGACCATTGTCATATGGCTTTGAAACTTTGCACATTTGTTCACCATCATGACCCAACCTATAGACAGGAAGAGGTAACTCTAGCATGCATTTTGACAGAATTATGCCTCTTTTTAGACTCAGAATTTCGTTACAGTTTTTGTAATACCTCAAAAAAAGTCCAGTGACATATGGCTTTGAAACAAGATGAAATTTTATACTCTTTGAGAGCATAATAGGACTCTCTCCAAGGCCTATAACTGTAACATGTATCTAAAGAAAAAAAAATTCCCTTTTGTTAACTTAGTAAATATTACATTATCAAGGCTTTCTTACTATCAAGCACTAAGAATAGTCGAGCGTTGCTGTCCTACCGACAGCTCTTGTTTTTATACCGGTAGTTTGTTTAATGCATAAAATGAAAATCACTGATTTAAAAAAAAATTGGCATTAAAAGGACTGAAGTGCAATACTGCGATGTCACAATGTAAACTTGGGTTTAAATGTGGGCCAGTTAAATACACATATTAATCATGCTTTACTTATTGATCTTTGATTATTAACTATGTTAAAAAGCAACTTGAACTAGAAATCAATCATGTCAAGTCACACTGTGTGGTTTTTACAACATCAAATATTGAAAATGTTGTAATATTTGCCTCTTTCTATAGGCATTTATACAAAATCGTTTCATAATATTTACCAAATTAAGTACAAATTGTTGTATTTATTTAAATGGTAAATTTTCAGTTTAAGGTTGATATTGGGTGATATTATGTTTAATTTTTTTTTGCTATTTCATCTTGTAAGGCTACTGTCCTCGGGCAGAAATTTAATTGTAACCTCTTTCTTAAATAGCATATTTTCATGCTCAATTTATAGGATCTTTCTAAAATAAAGTAGGATTTTATGTTCAGATATTTTTTTAAATGCATAATTTTACAGGGGTACACCCCTTCTTGATCTATAAAAGTCATTATTTTTTCTTTATTTTACACTCATAATATCTTGATGTAGTGAAGTCATAAAGTTAAAATGTAGTCTGAGGAATAACAAAATAACTCAACAGTACTGGTATAGGCTATCTGGGATATAAAGATTTATTTGAGTGGGGGGATTTTGCTGTGGCCTGATAAAGATAAGGGAGGGGGTATATATCACCAGTGGTCAGTTTATTATGTTAACTGTGTGAAGTGTTTTTATGATACAAACCTCATTATATCTGTATTATATATATAAAGCTGCTTATATTGCCTACTTATGACTACAATAAAACCACTTGTTGGCGACGCCGGTGAGCGGCGTCGTCTTATATGGAATGCTTTTTATTTTGGCCTATGGAAGGAGCTGTTATTATTAGCAGTTAATTTCATGTTGTGTTAATTAGTTTTATTTTGATTCGTAAAAATCAAGTAAACAAATATGTTGTTATATTTGTATTTAATAACTTTATATAAAAAGCATGTGCATTGTGATATTAATTTCACGAAATTGCAGGCTCAGATTAACAGCTTGTCCCTTTGTTTTATTGACAATACTAAAACCCGGATTTCGAATATCGTTGTGGTCTACATTGATGCTCATTCATTTATATATTTTCAAAACTTTCCTACAAGAAGAAAGTTCACCTGCAAATGAGTATTAGGATAGGTAATGGACTGTTGTAAACGATTATCCTATTGATTTTATCCATATTATGTTTATCTGTTGAACAGAATGGTTGTTTTTACAAAGTGTACCAGTATCCGGATGTTGACAGCTATCCGATTTTCTGCAATTACTGCTGTCACATGGCCATCTACTTTTTTATGAATACTTTACCATTAATTTGCATGGCATAACTAAAATGAGCCTGCAACATTTCTTAATTTTGATGTTTAGGGTGTTCTTTTGGGTTTCATGTTTTCTTTATTTCAAGGGGAAGTAACTCATGTTTACTAAATTATTTGTTCTTTTCTGTCTATCTTAGGTATTACTTACAATTTTTGTTTTATAAAATTTACCAGTTGCAAGGTCATCAAAAGCATAGAGGCCCTGATGAGTGAATATTGATATATATATACTTTTACTGGCTTTATATACCTAATATTTCATATTTATTTAATAGAAACTTGGAATTATTAATGTTATGTGCATACATTTATATCTTAGTATATTGGTATGATGAGACTTATAATATTTCTGAATTTAAAGAGTTGTAGTTATGTCATTATTATTAAGAGATGAGACTTTCATTTAAAGTTATAAATGATAATACATGTATTGATTGAAAATGTCCTGAAACTTGGATCAAGCAATATAATTGATAAAGCCTCAAAAAATCATGTTCTGAATAGTTATTCTAATTTTTTTCTAACATGTGCATAGTTTGAAAAGGACAGCTTCTGCCTTATCTATTTGTAATGGAGGGACACCGGTCTCAATCTCCAGGTCTCCTGAGTCAACCCGACAACAGACTTTTCATAGAGTAGATTGATACTTGTCCTTGAATAAATTTGTACACTAAATTTTATAGTGGGTGATTTGTGCCACATGAAAACCAACAAAGTACAAAAAGTAAACCGGGCGCCAGATGAAAACATGAAAATACAATCTACCACAAAGTGGTTCGTTGGTTGCATTTTCATGTTTTCGCCCGGTGCCCTTGATGTAAAATACAAATCAGCCTTCATAAAATTTCTTATCATAGATATTGTACATGTATCATAATAGCACAGTTATATTCTCTTTCAAATTGACCTGTTATAAATAATGGCACAACCAATAACTGTCTTAGCCCTTTTTAGTAAAAATAATTATACAATAATAATTATATAAATTGTTATTTTAATTAAGACTATCAGAGTATGTAAGGTTTTTATTTCTTATTTATTAATTAAGAATTAATTTAGAACTGTTCACTATTTAGGGGAGAAAATGTGTAAGCGGCGAGATAGCTCAATCGCTACAGCCGCGGTACATTATTCTGTGGGTCACAGGTTTGAGTTCTGGTCAAGCTGAAAGTTTTTCTCATCCTGTTACTGCAAATAACCATGAGTTTAATTCACTATGCTCTGTAAACATCAGAAATTCAAGTACATGAATCAATATAGTGGGGAAAAAGGTTTAGGTTTAGAACTGTTTCATTATTAAAGAGAAAATGTCCGGCCGGATAGCTCAGTTGGTCTTCTGAAAGTCATGGGTTTGAGTCATGGTCAGGCAGTTTCAGTCAGGGTTTAGAAGTGGTTTTTCAACTGACACATGTTTGATTCATTCAATAGATTGCATTTAATTTGAAATGGACAAAGGCAGTATTGCGTGATACTTTTAAATCTACAAAAAGCATTTGGTACAGTTGATCACACTAAACTGCACATGAAGAAGTTCTTTTTTCTTCTTCTTCATCTCTTCAAGCATCTGCCATATGTAATGACATTCTTGCATGGTTCAAGTCTTATCTCTGATAGCAGCTGGTGAATGTGGCTGGTACTCCTTCTCTCTGAATACCTATGGTGTCCCCCTGATGTTCATTTTAGGTCCTCTTTTATGTATGACATGTCTGCAACCCTAAGCAATAAGCTTTTATTATATGCACAGGCACAAGTATCAGACCTGGGAAGAAAAAATATTACCAGATTGATTAAAAAACCTGTGTTCATCTTAAAAGTGTCACAAACCAAAAAAAAAATGTAAATGATGACCCCCTTTAAAAATATACTTTAAGTTAATAGTATATTTTTAAAGGGGGTCATTATTTACATTTTTTTTTTGGTTTTTGACACTTTTAAGATGAACACAGATTTTTTATTAATCTGGTCATATTTTTTCTTCCCAGGTGTGATACTTGTGCCTGTCATTATATGATGATGACTCAGGTATCCTTGTATCTGGTAAAGTAAATCTTAAGATTGGTTTATTGACTATAAATTGTCTTTGCATCTTGGCAAGACAGAGTCTATTCTTTTTGGTTTAAGTTTCAACATAAACTGGGCCAAGCCTCCAGGTCACATGAAATGGTACTGCTATAAAGTACACATCTTTTGTTAAGTTTTTAGGTGCAAACCTGGATCAAATTCTTTTGGCGTCGCCCTTTGATGCTTTGCATCAATGCTTTTCTTGTATCTCTTGATATACTGGTAAATATCCCAGTCTGTAATGGACCACTTGATACATAATGGTAAATATATACACTCACAGGGCCTTTTTACCTTCTATAACAGGGGCCGGTATAGGGCTGCTTCCCCAAAGAAAATTTCTTTAAAATCATGCAGTTTTCCCCCAAAATTAAATTTACATCAAGTTTTTTCTTCCCCTTTTGCAAATATACCATATAATTTTTCCCCAAAATTAAGGGCTGGGCTGCTTCCCCAACCTGTGAAAAAAAGCCCTGACTCAACACTGTTTACTTATTCCACACAACCATTACCATGAAGGAATCAAGATGGATTTCATTATTAACAGATTGGCGATCCATATCATTGGTTAAAATGCTGTTAAAATCAGTTGTATTTTCAGCCTGTAGATTTAAATATCCCCCTTGACCCCTGGCCAAATTGGTTGTTTTCATTGGCACAATATGAAGCCTCTGGTGATTGTGTGCTCCTCTTAACCTTCATATTTGTTAAAGATATTAAGGGCATATTATGAAACAAATAAAATTTGCCTTCATTAGAAAGGGCAAACATGAATTAAATAATGGTTTAAAGGCATGTAAGATGCTTGTTGCTGGAAGAAAGTAGAGCTAAATGTGAAATAATGTGTCATAAAAGTAGCAAAATGTAAAACAAAGTAGTATTTTGACTTCCATACAAAAAACTAAATCACTATAACCACTATAAGTGTACAAATAGCAAAAAGCTGGCGATGGAAAAATTGGATCAATAAGTAACTTTTTGATGAAAAGTATTCCAAAAAATAAAAATGAAAATCCTTTCTGTGGTATAATGGGCCTTTAAGATAAAGTACTAATGGTTTCTCAGGTACTGTGAATGTGTCTTGAAATACTGTGAATGTGTCTTGAAATACCATTGTGCTAGTCTGGCATTAATTTGATTAAAGCAAGATGATGTAAATGGTTTTTGAAGAGGGGAAGAAAAATCTCTCCTGTAAAGAATAGTGATTTGTCTATGGAGAGATTCCAACCATGTCACAATAAGACTTGTCACATAAATATCAATTTATTTTATCAGTTTAATCAACTTATAATTCATACAGTGCTTTGATCTTCTCACTTCTTTACATGAGGACCAATTAATACAATAAAATCAAGATCATGTCATTATGTGATTATGTCTTGTTGTTAGTTAACATTATTTTTCCTAATTTATAAAATGATAAGAATTTTGCATGTTTTAAATTTACACATGTCAATCCTGCCCATTTTAAGGTGACAACAGACACTTTCCGTGGTACTCACATAAATGTCATTTAAACCAAGTTATTTTAGTAATAATTGTTATTCATTTAATTTTTGTGCATTAAATGTCGTTGATCATCATAAAAAATAACATATTTGAAAAAAATGCCTTTGTAAATGATTGATTTTGAATAAAAATCCTAAAATTTTAAATCGTCATATCAAAGTCATTTTTTATTTTTTTGTCATCAAACTTTTGAAAAATAACCATTCTTATATTATCTGGGGAACCGTGTCTCAAATTTTTTATATCTTTTCTCAAAAAAATATTACGTAACGTCAAACATTTTATGCGACTTTTTTCACCATACATATTACGTAATTAAAGATAATTAAGTCGCTGATTGAGCAAACAAAAATCCCTGACACGGTTCCCTCCGTAAATGAATTTCCTTTCATGTGCTTTAAACCGCATGTTAATTGCTTGATTATTAAAAAAGTTATGCCGATTCAAAGTTAGTCCGACCCGCATCAAACGAAGTGTCATAAATCGGCTGTTCTCTCTCGGACCCCTACGTTTCACGCTAAATAATTGCATAATACACAAATATCGCACCAGAGAGGGTCACAAGTTGTGGTAACATACTCTAACAACATTTTATGACCCAGTGACATCCGACCAATTAAAAAGCTGCTGATTAATATCAGTTTATAGCCGAAATTTCTTCAATTCTTAACGTGATTTACTGTCGTCGCACATGTCACGTGACTATCGGTAAAATTTGAGGCACTCAGTGGGGCAAATGGAACGCATTTGCGCACCGCTAGCGGGGTATTTAATTGTTTCCTATTTGAAGTTTATTATTATTATCATCAGCAGCATTATTATTGTATTATACCAGTGTCACTCTGCCTGTGTATTCGTGTATGAAATTCCGTTAAAATATAAAATAAAATAACAAAAAACTGAGCTTCTGACAGTCTTTTAAAGTCCATGGTAGATGTACAAATAAGAACGGGATAGTATATATTTTTTCCACCAAATTGATAATGCTTCACATATTTTAATAGAAATAAAAGGTATTACTCGATCATTATGATGTGGCCTTCTTGACTTCTATTATCATGAATATCATCTATGCACGGCATAGAGATCCAGTTTCTACCGGGATAGACAATAAATTTCATACTTTGTCCCAGATTTATTAGTACTGTGTCGGATTTACTGGCGAACAATTTATTTTCACTGAGAATATATTTTAATATCTTTTTTTATTCATAGAGAAATAATCATCCTTAGACAATCTAAAATGGTTTAGAAATTTGTCAGGGACACCTTACCACAAGTCATATAAGCGTTCACATAAAAAATGTCGTCTGTTGTTGTTTTACTTGACATTGTTAGAAAACGAGGTTGAATGTAAAGTAAGCCCTTGAATCCGTACAAAAGTCTATCAACTCAATGTAATATATATCAGATTAACGGGACAGACAAATTATTTTCACACCTTATGGATATTTTAGCAACTACATTTTTAATCAACCCCGTGGTCGTGCGATTTGCCGCTATGCTTAATTATTTATGTTTCATACATTATGTTACGTACATTGGCCGACAATTTCTTAATTTATAAAAAGGCTAAATGTTGAGATATTCATAAAAGATGTACGGTAGATGAACGATACATGTATTACGAGAAATATGGACCAGTATGGACCTGTAATTCACGGATATATGGAACTACCGATTTCCCTCATTGATGCCTCAACAGGGGGCGGAGCGTTATCGATAATCGACAGGTTACGCGAATAGCAGATACAAATAGTATAGGTACCGTTTTAAATCGTTTAAAAACACATTTTTTGGACTAACTGCTTCCAAAATTAAATCACGAATGTGTTCAGAAAAGGTTGATAAATCTACTTAGCAAAAAATCTCATTTTAGGTATTTTCAGTGATAATTGACTCCGTTGTCACCTTAAATAGATCATGTTAAAATAGTAAACATTGTTTTTGATTAAATCTTACATCATTAGTTTTAATGACAATACTGGTATGTAAATATGAATGAACAGTGTCAGATTAGTGTACTAAAGTATGAAATGTAATAAATTGAGCCGCGTCACGACAAAACCAACGTAATGCATTTGCGACCAGCATGGATCCAGACCAGCCTGCGCATCCGCGCAGTCTGATCCGGATCCATGCTATTCGCTTACAAACCCTATTACAAGTAGAGAAACTTATAGCGAACAGCATGGATCCTGATCAGACTGTGCGGATGCGCAGGCTGGTCTGGATCCATGCTGGTCGCAAACACACTATGTTGGTTTTGTCGTGACAAGGCTCTTATAATGATTTGATTGCCAGATTCATGCTCATATGAGAGATTTAAAGTAAGAAGCATAAGAACTCCAGCAAACAGAGATGAAAGACTATCCCTGTCTTATGATAAGTTAAAAACTTAGATGCGTTAATCCCTTCATATGCGGTATCCTCTTTGGTTGGCAAGTTATACAAAAATCCCAGTATGATATTTTCCTTTTATCTTTGAACATATATACATATGAATTATTCATGGTGAGTAGTCGACAGCCATTGTCAATAAAATAAAACAAATTTCTTCACCACTAAACCCATAAAATGGCTGAGCGGCAATGCCACCAATAAAGAACCAAGTCAAATTGATGTGGTAATAACAAATTGATGAAATTTGAAATAGAAAATTGCTGACAACAAGCATTTTGTTCTACAATGTTTCTGTTATTAATAGATATGGTTAGGGTCTAACTAAACCAATGCTCTGTGAACGTAGGCTATCTATTTGGACTTTGTGTAGGGGAAAAAGAAGTGTTATGATTTAGATAAAGTTTCACATATTTTTCTTGTCCTGAAGAAGTAAAATAATTGTATAAGATAGATTATTGTAAGGAGAACATAGGTCAGTATATCAGCTAATTATGATCAAACATGGCTCCTGTGTATGGTTTTAATTGCACTATATCTGATAAATTATCTACCTATTGTTCTCTTTTACACCTTTCTTCTTTCTCTTTCAGATTACATTCTCTAGTTCTTGCAAGAAGAATGTATAATCATTAAGTTTCTGTACATATTTACAGCATTTATCCAAATATCGTGATTGTGAGCATGGGTGTCATTCATTTGAAACATATTTGTAAAGATACTGGTATTTACCCTGAGAGCATAATACTGCTGTATTTGTATACATAATTGATAAGCAAATAATAAATTGTAGATAATTATAGCCAGGTGAGAGTGATTGAAGAACAGGGATTATTAGGTCAATATACCATAAACACCTGAAAACTTTCCCTGGCTTGTTTAAAATATCAGGCTTTCTTGTGTAATAAGTAATTTAATGGTGTTTTTTTTCTTATCATGAATTTATAAGGAACGATTCATGACCTTTTCTTGAAATAGTTATGACTTTTGGGATCATTTTGAAAAACTTATTTATTTTTGCACCTGTCACCTTTAAAAGACACCAGGAATCGTTCATACCTATAATGCTCAGATATATTCTAGCTGAAATACTGCCTATAATCATAATTATTTGACTGAAAATTAAAAACAACACACACACACATGTACAACAAAACAACAAAATCCCCAGAGCTGTTACTTAAACAATGAGTCTGATATGTCATAGTAGTGACTGGCCAGTTATCAATATAAATTTGAACACAAGTTATTATTATAAACTTGATATATCTTTATATTTTCAGAAAAATTGTTGAATTCCTGTGGACGTGAACTAAGACGTGCCTTATTTTCTCTCAAACAGATCTTCCAGGTAAGCTTTGGTCATTTTCTACAAAATAAACTACTCTCTATTTAATCCCATTTAATTTTGTAATATAGATTTATAATTTCCAACTTCAATACACCTATTTTATGGAAATTTGATATGTGAAAGTTAATTTTCCAATTTTTATTCTCATAAACCTGTGAGTGCAAGAAAATTTAAAAGCAATTTTGTGCATTTTCTTTTTACGCAGTACGTGTAATTGTTCTAGTGTGTGCGTTTAGGTACAATTAAATTAAACCGCAGATGTTAAATTGGAAGTAAAATTAAATCAAAAGTGTCATTTATTTTCAAAAGAGTTTCTAAATTTGAAATTTTTATTCTAGAAATAAACTGAATGTAAGACGGAAATGTAAAGATTAGAGATTTTGCCAAATAGTTATTTGAACTGAAAAGCTAAACATATGAATTGATAAGGTTTTTACACTTACCTCAGATTTGAAACAAGATAGTATTTAATTTAAAGAGGCAATTTTCTAAAAATACATTCAGTATACTTTTCATAAAATGCATGTTTTGTTAAAGGGTGTAAAAATGAATTTGTTAAACCTTTTATTTGCACTTGTAAATTTAAATACATGTTTTTCCTTAACCAGTTACCATTGCGATATAGGACTTAAGAAGTTAAAACTTAGGTTCATGTAGCTTATTATACAAAATTACAAGTTTATTGGCCAAAATATTGTCAAATTGTCAGTTTTTCATAATAAGATGTTACAAAAAAAAAAAAAGATCAAATTTAAAGAAAACTTATTGTTCCACATTTCTCATATGTAAAAATCTTTATATGAAGTCCGGAGTTTCTCTCAGGAACCAGTTATTTTAAGAGCACATGCTGGCAACATTAGTTGAAAAAAAAAAATCAAGTATAAAAATCTCATTGGTTTAAAGATAAGAAGTTTTTTTAGAGGCAGTGTATCTGTTTGTATCAGCTGATGTATATCTAGGGTAGATAAACCAATTATTTAATTTCCTCCCAAGTTTACCTGTTGGTAAGCTGGTATACATGCATTTCCCAGCATGCAGTTCCAGGCACAAACCACAGGTAAACATCCAGATGATTGCTTTTAGAAAGCAAACAAATATTGAGGGTATTTAAGGGTATTTAAGTATAAAAACTGGTTTGTGTTTTAATGAATTATTTCCAGTACATAACCATAAGTTCTGTGTAATAATTTTCCCTATGAAAAGTTGAAAAATGGTATTAATTTTAATTTTACTGATAAGTTCATCTCTGTATGAAACTTTGTAACATGTGCACTGGTACTTCTGGCAAACTACCTGGATTATATAATTCATCTGTAACTTGTAAGGTGAAGATTTACAAAAGATATAAACAGTCATTTGCAACTATTAGTAAAATTTGTACATATAGAGATAAACTTCCTCACATATTTATGCAAATTTCAACTGTTTCAACTTGAAGGATTTCTATATGCTGGCCTTGTAATCTAAGGATTGCTAGTTACATGGGTTGAAACCCTGTCAGGGGCAACCATTGTTTCCATGAGCAAGAAACTTTACACTAATTGCTTAGTACTGGTTGGCTCCAGGAAGGGATTCAAATGCAGTTAATAGCTTCAATTAAAATCCAACTAAAATAAATTCGTATAAACTAAGAGTCTCTATGGTCGATGCAATTGAATTGTTTCTTTAGTTTACCCATTCTTTAGTATTTAGGGATGAACTGTGATAATCGTTAATTTCAAATTATAAATGGTTAATTATTATTATGTTATATTTGATTGTATAATGATAAAAATGTGTATAAAGTATAATTATACAGGAAATAAATACTTGACATCAACTTACTGTTTTGTATATAATGGAAGATCCTACTTCATAGTAGTGTACTTGAGGATAAGTAAGTTTATATATAATATGCTGTTAATTAACTTATTAGTTATCATATTTGACCATCAGTTAACTACTGTTCAACTCTTCAACTCTCCACGCTTTAATCCATTACTGATGAAAGCTTGCCTACATTTACTAGTCAACAATAGATGGATGCTGTACATCATGAAATCCTAGTTACCCGAGCAAAAATGTCTTACAAAAATAATTGGTTGCATTTCCCACTTGATTTGTTTGCCTGTAATTATAATATTTTGTCTGGAAATGCAGTTCATGTTATTGACTTTTTACCTTTCCTTCATGGTTTTTAAAAGTTTTCAAGGGTAAGAAAACAGTGAAAGGTGAATTATTTAGAAAAGTCTAATGAAAGTTTCCTTAGTATTTCCTTAGTATTTGGGTTTTGTGCAATGTTTGGTCTTCTCTGATCACTGAAGTAGAAAGTTTTGACATAAATTAGACTGCACCAATGAACTTTAAATGATGTTACTTTTTAGGTATAAATGGAAATAGAATAGATATAGTTACATGTATAAAGAGTCAATAAAACTCTCTCTATGCTAGAATTGGTGGTCAAAAACACAACTACTAGGAAAGTATCAAGGTAGTTGTTACATTTATGGGGTCAGACCAAGCTTATTTTGTAAGCCTATCTAGTTTGATTTCATCATGATATCCCTTAAGTTAATAATGGGCTGTTCAAAAATAGAAGTTGGACAAGTTCATTTTGAAAATTCAGCAGATTCAGGGTGTGAATCATGTATATAGCATATATAACAATGAATGTTATTATTATATTTGTAGGATGACAAGGATCTTGTACATGAATTTGTCAACAATGATGGTCTGGATTGCCTTATCAAAGTCGGAGCAGAAGCCGACCAGAACTACCAGAATTACATCCTTAGAGGTATTTTAATCACTGCAATATCTGGAGACTTTATTATTGCAGGCCTTTGATAATAATATACAATGATGCTTGTTGTTTAATTTTACTATTTGTTAGGAATCGGGTTCAAATTCAAAGAGATACAAATCATTATACAAATTCAGCAAATTTGTTAAACTTACCTAGTTTTAAATGTAAAGTTCCTCTTTACACCCTTTAAAAAAATTCAACACCCTTTTAAAGGGTATAAAGCTATATGAAATATTTTCATAAATTCTAGGGTGAAATAAATTATATTGCTACTATAATTATTTGGTCAGTTCTGGAGAGAGTTGTAATACAGAATGTCTCTCATATTTAACTCAAATCGAAATTGTATGAAACAGATTAAAATGTTTGGGAATAAAATCTTGTGGTGCTATTTTAAGTAGGGTTTTTACCATTTAGCAAAGCAATACTTTCTTCCATTCATCATTATTTGCTCTTAAGTAAATGTAAAAACTTTTTTCTTTGATACAGGTTTTTTTGAAGTACATTGTATTCTTTTTCCAAATACAAATAATTTTGTAAACTACATGCACTAGATATATAGCTTAAAACACTTTTATCTTAATGGTGTACCAGATATTTGTATATCAGCAAACGTTATTACAATCATAAGTCCATGTACAGGTTATAAAAACAATTTCAGGTGTACATTTATTTTTTGCTGATTCATCGAAATTTAGTACATCTAATGGGAAAAATTACTTCAGACATAATAACATCTTGTGTGTATGAGTCACAATAACTACATAAATGTAAACATTGTATAAATAGAAGACATGTATATTAATGTTTTATATGTTATAAAATGTACACAATGTGTGTGTATATATATATTGTATCAAATGTTTATCATATTTACAGCCCTTGGACAGGTGATGTTGTACGTAGATGGCATGAATGGAGTCATCAATCACAATGCAACAGTACAGTGGCTGTATTCATTGCTAGCATCCAAGGTATGTCTCCGCGTGATACCATAGTATACTTACTTCATTCACATTCTGCTCACTACCTCATCAGAGCTTAATGTACAGTGACATCTAAATAGGAAAAAAATGTTTAGATATACCCTTTACATATCTTATTTGTCAAGTTTGTTTTATCCCTTGATAATAAACATGACTTATATGTAGCCTTAAGTACATTATTCATGTAAAATCTTATTCATAAAGCATAATTACTAAGACTATGCAAGAGCCTTTGTTTGTAAACTAGTACTGCACTTTCAGAAATCAGAAATATTATAAGATAGTGAATAATAATTTCCTCGTGAAAAGTTTAGTGGTATCAAAACAACATAAACAATTAATTAACACTTGAGATTTTAGTCATAAAAATGAACCGATTTAACACAACCCAGTGTTATGTTTGATAAAAAAAATCAATAGCTGAAAGATTTCCAGGCCTCTGGCAAGAAAATTTGTTAAATTTCTCAAATTTGCAAAATTGTCATATTTGCTTCATGTCATGAACTAATGGAGTAAATTTTCAGCCAATTTTCTGCCACTGTAAATGTTTAACATGAAGAGTTTCATAAAGTAAATGGCATAGTAATTTTCTAACCTGATATTAATTCTTTAAATTCTTAATGTGACTTTGCAAAATTGTAAACCTTATACTTACAATATCAACAATTTCATTTTGTAATTACTATTTAGTAACATAAATCAAGACAGACTGCTTTAGAATTTAAGAAATGTAGATCCAAATTTGAATTCTTTAGGTATTTCACATTCTTTTAGTTTTAATTGAAGTAATTATGAAATTAAAAATGGAGAAGAATACAGTGTGGCTTTTTAAAAGTAAAACTGTGCCAGACATTGTTATTATAATCAATGTTAAATCTCCAACATGGATAGGAATTATTAGAGAAACATCTGTTTCTTATGTGGAGTAGATTTGATACAGAATGAACAATCTGTCAGAATTGTTCTGATATGATATTCTTTGATTGTCAATAAAAGGGGGTATAATGTCGTAAATGAAAGTTTTATTTTCCGTTCTGATCACATACTTTGATATCTTTTACAGAAGTAACATGTGTGAAATTATTTTTGAAATATATAATACATGTAAATGATTAATATTAAGTCAGAACAGAATTGTGTAGTTTTACATTGTTTTCATAATAGCTTTAACTAATGATGATGATGATCCCCCTTGTGGCTGAGGGGTTGCCTTTAAGAGTTAAGTCATCAGAATTGCAGCCATAGTTAATCCTGTGTGATCGTAAGGGGCGACGAAATGGGTTTGAAGTACGGGAGTCTATGCATCTCTTAGCCCCAGCAGGTGGGATGGTTTTGACACCTGGTGTTGCTTAAAGTTTGTAACACCTGAGGTTAGCGAAAGTCATCTTTCCTGTTTCAGCTCCATATGACCTAAATTGTGTTGGTGTGTTGTTAAACCAAACATGATGACAATGATGATAGTGATGATGTTAATAAATGATAATATATCTTAATAAATCAGGAAATAACTTGTTACTATATTTATGATTCATTCAAAATTTTCTTTGTGAAATGTACAATTGTAAACAAATTTCTTTATCAATTTTTACAGTCACCTTAATATATTTACAATTATTATAGTCCAGCTAGAGATCACACCAACTATAAAAGAAAAATCTCAGTCTTAAACTTCAACTAAAGACCTGCCAACATATTGTGCATAGTACATATTTATAGATTGAAATACCTTTAATCAGATTAGTCAGTAATTTGTGCTTAAAGATATGATAAGTGTTATACCATTAGGTCATTTAATGTCATGGCAGTATTTACACTTTCTCACCTTTTTCTAAAGCCTTTAATATCACAGCTATATCGAAGCCATATCATTTTGCTGTATTTAATTTGTACAATACCATGAACCCATGTAAGGAGATATTTATTGCGGATAAAACTGATCAGCTAATGAGATTTAAAGTGCAACGTGATCTAAATTTATGAACTTATATTGACATGTCATGGTAAACATGTTATGTAATATGATGGCAATCATATGACTTGAATTTTTTTTGTATATTTATGATCTTAAGATACTACGTTTTATGATTTAAAGATATAATGTTTTGCTTGCTCGTAAAAAATGATAATGAAAAGGCAAGCATTAAAGAAAAGAATGATTTTGGCTGTCCTCTGTACATAAATTTATGACAATTTATCAAAGTAAATGCAGATTGAAAAAAAAATGCTTATCCTTAGTTTTCATAATGTACAAGATCTTTTGAACTTAGCTGTTAAGAAGAAGAAAAAAAAATGAGAAAAGAAACAAATTTCAAATAAAAAATATTTGTAAATTACTTATTTTGTGTATCATAATGTACAAGATCTTTTGTGCCCAGCTGTTAACAAGAAAAAAAAATAAGAAAAAATAATTTTTGTGCAGCTATAACCTTCAATTTTTTTTGGTGTGTCTTATTATCTTTGTTACTATAATATTATATACAAATGTTCAAATGTAGCCCTTTCAAAGTAAGGTACAGAATATTTCAGAATGTTTTTTCCTTGGTAGTAGCAAGTTTTAAGGCAATAATTAAAATCCTAAGCTGATTTAATAGCAGAAATATTTATATAGCATGAAAATATTATTTTTGTAAATCTTTCATATCGTCTGTACATAAGAAAACATTGAACAAGATCTGTCAAAAGTTGGATTTAATCTATATTAATACTGATTGACATTTTGTATATCCTAAATTAGGTCAAAGTTTCAATCAAGTGTAACATAATCTAGCTGTAAATACATTTATGATTAACCAAGAATACAAATATGTTGAAATTGAATTGTACCAGTGTTTAATGGTTCAAATAAGAATTATTTAGTCATTTAAAATTCTAAAAATAACCTTTTATTTAAGTAAGTTGCCAGCTTCAAAATTCAGAATTGACTTAACACTATTAAATTTTATTAAATTAATTGAGTGTTTTTATTAGGTATATGATTAACTGATGTATTAATCTCTACAGATAGTGATAGTGGACACCAGGGTTTGTAGCCTTAAAGCCTCTTAAAACACATCCCAATACATGCATTTACTCTGACATTAGCTCAATTATTTACCCCCCTCCTGAAGATATTAAAATACATTTGTTTGGAAGGCGATTCATTGCTTCACCTGGCTTAAGAATACAAGAAGAAATAGCAAGTGGTCCTAGCTTTTTTGACCGTATTTGTCCATTAAAAAGCTTTACCTGAATCCTGAGATAGATTTTCACAATACACTTTTCCTGCTAAGAAATAGAAACTGTCCTTTGTTTATTTATGGACCTTATTCCTTTAATAATAACAAAATATTAAATTATATGAACAAATGTATTGTGTGGTAAGACTACATGTATGTACATTGTACAAACTGTTCTAATTATTATATGAAAAAGTGACATCATTAATCCCTGTGACTTTATCCCTGACATGTAAAAATTGGAAGAAATAACTTTCTACAGTGCCCATATTCATGTATGGGAAAACTTCAACTTGGCTCACTGGCATGGGTAAAAGTTTACAGGCATTCGCCTGAAGTTCAGATTTTTTCTGCTCCTGAAAGTTCTCTTTTTCTACATAAAACCAATTGAAATAATACTAAATTCAGGGTTTTAATGTTTTCTTATATTTTCAACTTGCACACATAGAAAATATTTATGTAAAGAAATGAAGTGCACTTTGTAACATTATATGACCATGTTAACAGGTTACAAGCTTGTATGATAATGTCACCGATGGGTTGTTCTGTCTCAAATATGATTCAAGTGAATACAAAGTGTCTAAGGTGACCAAGTTCAATAAGTTCTAATAGTTCTATTAGTTCATGTTGACAGACAGTTCTTTTCTTTATAAGTTTCAATCCATTGTTTTGTTAAATTTCAGATTGGTTACAGTTTTAAATTATTAAATTTTTGATGCAATTTATCCCACAGTTTTAGCCGAAATAGAATATTTCAGATACTTGTTGATGTATTTAGTATTGGTTAATTTGTGTTTAAGTTTTACACATTTGATTGGTTTGAATATTAATACATTCATTGTAATGATTGAGCAGTTTCACAATAAAGATTGTTCTTCTGTTTAGATTGGAGAATATTTTCAAATACATAACCATACTTTATGTTTATCATGTTTTCATTTCAAAATGTTAAGGTAGTTTCATAAACTGATTTATTTTCATTTATTATATTAAACCTTAACCTGGCAGGAACCAAAAGTGATCAACCTTTGCCACCAGTATAGAGCCAGGCCAGTCTGCACATTCCTGCAGTCTAACCAGGCTCTATACTGTTGGTAGCTCAACTTTTGTATTTTGATATTGAAATCCCTTGTACTATGAATGGACTGTTCCAAATTCAAAGCTGGACAGATCCATTATAGAAATATAGTAGGTTAAGGGTTAATACATCATGTACAATATTGGTTCATTCACACTAATCACAGAGCTATGATTATCTTTGTCATATTGTGCAAAACTTGTCTTAATGGTTTACAATTCTAAATTTGTTATAAGTTATACCGTAAAATTCCTAATAAACGCCCCTCCCCTAATAAAGGCCCCCCCAGGCCTTTTGATAGGGAAAACAATCTACTCATCAGTGCTGAACTCATAATTAAAGCCATAATTTTATTCAAATCATTCAGAATCCATAGTATTTTATAGTAAACACAAATATGTATAATATGAACTTTAAAACCTTAACATTTTTTAATGTCATTACCAACACTTGCTAACACTAAATGTATTTACAGTGATTTTTTTATTTAGGAAAAACTGTGTTGTAATAATAGCCCCCCTTTTGGAAAATGTTAGGCCCCCGGGGGCGTTTATTAGGAATTTTACGGTACATTCATTTGATGTTAGTACATGTTCTTAAAACAGATCCCTTGTTTAAAGCTCTGATTAAATTGGTTGTTATGTTTTGACTGTAATGATACTGTATGTTTACAGTTTCGACTAGTAGTGAAAACAGCTCTCAAGTTGCTCCTTGTGTTTGTGGAATATACAGAAACTAATGCTCAACACCTCATCAAGGCTGTCAATGCTGTAGATAAGAAAAGAAGTAAGTATATATATACATTGATACCTTAATTGACTTATTGTAAGGCAGCAGGTGTTTTCTTGTGCCAGAATTAATGAGGGATGTCCTAAGTCTTGCACCACTAATAAGGCTACCATTACATGTCTTATTATTCAACTATAAATTTAGATTTGCAGGGGAATCCGAAAACTTTGTAAACAAAGCCAGGAGTGTAAGTACCTGTTTTTAAAGATGCTAGTATAAAGTAGTCTGTATTAAATGACAATTCAGCAAAAAAATGATGACGCTTTCACTTCTTCAAATGATGAAGCATTACTGGAAATACTTATGTATCTCCAAATTAAATTATGAAAAATGACAACAATTAAGATAATGATATTTTTGTCAGAATGTTTTGATATTTTCATTAGTGTTGCCATCTGCCTTTATAATTACCACTAATGTGATTGACTAACATTATAAGTATTATCTATGAACTGACAGTAGGTAGACACCTCTCATGTCAAATCAGCTTTGGCATTTATTGATATCTACTTGGCAAAGTTCTAAAATTGAACAGTTTCACTGATGTGGGCAAAGATTATTGACTTTAAAATGAATTCTACTGTACTTTAATATAGATGTTTTGATAGATTCATGTTTATTTTAAATACGAATACGAACTTTATTCCTTTCAGCATAAAACATAGTACAATGTTTATAGCCACACACATGCATGTATGTGTTGCACAGGTGCTTATGTTAAAAAAATGTACAATTTGCTACATATAATATTAGTATATATATGTGATTTTGTTCTGTAAGAAAACATATGGTCAAAGTCACACTTATGTCCCAGCATTAAATAATTAATTCAGATTATACTTTATAGAATGGAGAAAGTGCTATCTAATATGGCAGCTTAAAGTGAATAAATTATGCAAACAAAATACACTTGATTAACATGTAACTGTTTATGTATATTAAGTCTGTAAGTGAATAAATTATATCAACAAAACATGCTTGATTAACAATGGTTAATTGTAACACAATCATAGATAATTGAAAGTACTATTTGTGAGGAAGCGACGAGACCTCTTTATCCTTCAAGAAACTTGACCTATTTAAAAAGGATACTCTAATATTTGCTGCCCAGTTTTTTTTGATTTTCACATGATTCAAAGTAATCATTGTGTTATAATATACATACATAATTCACATTTCAGGGAATCATCAAGCATTTAATGATGGAAATGTTTTCAAAATACAATATGTAACAATATTTGTATGGGAATAAAAGTAGAATTTATAATTAAACATTTAAGTGGAAGTTTCACAAATTTCACAGAAATGGTAAATAAGTGGGCTGGAAAGTGTTTAATACAAATTGCAAGAACTTGTTTCCTTAGCAAGCCGAAGTAAATATGTTTAAACTAAAAATAACTATTTAAAATCTCATCATACTATTAGATTTATTTTCATCACATGCCAACATGTATATAATGGTTATATTTGATATTTCAGTGGTCAAGCCTTGGACAAACATTATATCAATATTAGACGAGAAGGATGGTGGTGACACGGAACTTTTAGTCTATGCCATGACACTTCTAAACAAGGTATATATATATATATATATATATAAATGTTGATTGTAAATGAACTGAAATATCAGATGCCGTATGTCATATTCAATCAATACTCTACATACCTTCTCTCATCATAATAATTTGAGCCGTGTCACGACAAAACCAACATAATGGGTTTGCGACCAGCAACATAATGGGTTTGCGACCAGCAACATAATGGGTTTGCGACCAGCATGGATCCAGACCAGCCTGCGCATCCGCGCAGTCTGATCAGGATCCATGCTGTTCGCTTACCAACCCTTTCACAAGTCGAGAAACTGATAGCGAACAGCATGGATCCTGATCAGACTGCTGGTCGCAAACCCATTATGTTGGTTTTGTCGTGACGCGGCTCATTTATACATACATTCCGATCAGGTTCTATACTGTATTCTATTCAGTTTCAGTATTTCATCATATCCCTAAAAGTGATGATGGACTGTGTCAAAATTTGAAAGGGTTAATGATAAACAGAGTTTTATAATTTATGTGGTTGAAGGACTTCAATTAATTACCAAAAACAAGAGTAATCTCCCTTTGGTCAAAAACATAGAATTCATATCTTTCTATCCATGTTCAAACTTTACCCTGCTGGAACCAAAACCGATAAGCTTTGTTACCAATATAGAGCCAAACCAGTCTGCACATCCATGCAGTTCTGACTTGCCTCTTGATCCATAGGCTTACTAACTTGTAATTTTCATCCCCAAAGCCAATAATAGACAGTTCCAAAAAAAGGAGCTAGACAAGTCCATTAAAGCAGATTAAGGGTTAATAGCTGGTTTGGTGTGAACTTCATTTATTCTTCCTCAGATGGTCCATTATCATATAAATGCTTTAATTATATTCATTAAAGATGATTGATTTATTGATTAGGAATGCAATTGTTGATACATTACATTATATGCATCAATTTATTATGTTTGAATGACATGTCAATATAACAATGTCAATGTTAAACATTGATTTAATATCCATATGTTAAAGTTCATCTTCAGCAATGTTGTCTCAAATTTTTGCTGTACAATGTTACCAATGTTTGATTTGATATTAAATATTGCTGTCTTTTTACAATTGCGAACAACAACAAATTTTAGATGTGAAAAAATAGATAACAATAATGGTTTATGCACAGGGTTGAGTGTTGTTAAGAAATGTGCTACATTTGTAATCTTATACCCAGATCTTAGGCATTTGAATGGTCAGAAACTGGCATAGAATGTTCACTGACCAATGAAAATCTCGAGATTCTAGCCAGAGCTTTTAAAAAAAAACGATTTTATAACTTTGAGGCCTGTATCCTGTATTTTTTAAGCTTGAGTTTTTGTAGAAAAGTATGGCTATCCTCCTATTAAATGTATGACTTCAAAATAATTTGTGTCTTAAATTTACTTAAAATGTCAGAGGCTAGAACTATTAGTTGCAACCAATATGATTAAAATTTGAAAGCATAACCTTTGTTATCATGACTCATTGACTGTTAAATTATGTTTTACTGCTTTTTAAACTGGAACGTCTGTGGCCGAGTGGTTAAGGTCTTTGACTTCAAACCACTTGCCTCACACTGCTTTAGGTTCGAGCCTTACCAGTGTCTTTGAATTCTGTCATGTTAGAAAGCTATCCAGCTAGTTTATAGAGCATCAGTGGTTCTACTGAGGAGCTCATTTGCTCCTGAAGTAATGGGCACCTGAGGTCTTCCTCCACCAGTATAGCTAGATATAGAGATATAGACATCATTGACATGTAGGCAGTATTAAAACTGTTTTAATTAAACTTTGTATGATCATGGAATATGATTATCAAGATATTTTAAGCAGAATAACATTGAGGGTTACCAAGCTTGTTTTTGAGTACCTGCCTGATTCAGGTTGTTATATTTTATATTATAATATGTATATTATATATATATTATATGTATAAATATTACAGGTATTAAATGCTGTACCAGATCAGGATACATTCTATGATGTAACAGATTGTCTGGAGGAACTAGGTATGGAGCGTATCACTCATAGACACATGAACAGAAAGGGGGCTGACCTCGATCTTCTTACACAATTCAACTTGTATGAGGTATGAATATTCATTAATATTTATACCTGGTGTTTACTCAGTGATATTCAGGCTTTAAATATTGGTTATATAAAAAATAAAACTCTATTTATGATAGACAACAGACCCCTCCTATTCAAGATAATGCTTATTTTTCATACCATGTGAGATGCACATTTCCAAAGGTGTGAAATAGGTAAAACATATTTTATGGGAGATATTTATGAAAGTATTGCATTTATCCACACGTGAAAAAAATGGAACATTTAGCAGTTTTCCATGTACTGAAAAAAAAAATCGTAATTACATTTGTATAAGCATAAGTCTGAAAAAAGGCATCAAAAACTGTTTTATTAGATATGATGAGTAAAAATTTAGTATTTGTTAAATGGGGTACTTGAACTGGGTTGAAAAATTACACTGGTATTTTAACATTTTAATCTTAAGAAGAGGTTCTTATTAGGGTTTTTATATTTTTACCAGTGTGATTCTTAAGTGTAAAAAGTTATTCTTTCTGATCGATTTTTGAAATCATTGTGATTTTTAAACATTTTTACAGAACCAAAAGAGAAAGGCCCGAATCCTAGTGGTAACGCTCTCCTTGTTATTAAGTACAACTTGTTTTGTTAAAATGCTGTTGAAACAAGACAATGGTCTATGTTCATGTTCTTATGTATTATCATTGTTCGTACCCCTATGTACAACATGTTGGAAACATGATCATGTTTTTATTCTGTATGTCAATTTTCATTGTTTTAAAGATTTTCAGCAATGTTATACTGCATGGCTATATTGCCACTATGTGGATGTTATACTTGAAGTTTTTTTTATGTTCAAAGTAAACCTAACTTATATTATTCATGAGATATGAATGCCTGAAACAAGGTTGTTTTTTGTTTTTCAATGGGTCAATATTATTTATAGTAAAAATCCAAAAGAGAATTTCATATTATTAGTAAACTATGGCTGGTATAGCTTATTGAACCTTTCCTCATGTATAGACCATTTTATCTGTAAAATCATCTTAGATTTTATTCATGAGACATTAGATGACTGTATTGCACTTTAATGTGGTGTACAATAGAGCAGAAAATATGTATTTTTAGGAAGTCTATAATCCAGTTTGTGATTAACCAAATTTGTTTTTGAACACTTGCCTTTAAAACAATTTTTCTTGACTGTAAAGTGAACTAACATAGAAATAAATCTGTTACTATTTTAAAACCACCTTTGACTTTTAACAACTACAGGCATCTTTGAAGAATGAAGATGGCGAAGAAGATGAAGTAGGTCAGATGGAAAATCTCCGTCGTACTCCAAGAATCAAGAGTGACGGGGACATTGCACGAAAGTCCCGTAGATTTTCCACCGGAGTGATGCCAAGTCGGAACTCACTGGGAATGAGTGTCGAGGGAAATGAACAATCGCCTTTGAATAAATCTGCCCTGTTAGCTGAAGAATATAACAAAAGAAAACAGAAATTAAAAGAGTCAGTAAAGTTACCTCAATTATTTTCAGTTGAAAATTATTTCTTATGTGTTTACTTATATTTTACAAAATCTGTGTTCAAAGAAAGGTCACTTTATTCATTGATTTCCAGAAAGGAGTAAAATCAATAAAACTCTAAATTAAGTAAATGAAATACATTTCCTTTATTATTTATCATATCAACTGAAGAAGCCTTATAATTAGCGAAACATGTTTTGATAAACTGTGTTGGTTTGTGAAATCTTTTTTATCATACTTGAAATTACTCAATATTTGGACTATATTTAATGTTATTAAGACTAGTTATATGAAGCTACTATCCCTCGTGTACAAGGTTACACAACATCAAGCTTCATAGCAAAATATCATGTTATTTTTTGACATACAATTGTGCATACATTTTAAGTAAGATTATATTTCCTTAAATGTTTTTAACTAGAAATTGTGTTGTACACACTTATTTAACTCATAAAGATTGCTGTGACTTTGATTTTTATAAATGTAAAAAAAAAAATGTTTTGCATACATCAGAAGATCGGCTATACCACCAGAGGAACACGAGATGATTGATAGATTACCGGACAAACAGATGCGTATAAAACGGTTAGGGTTAGACAAGGAAGATCCGGTGGATGATACCAGTAAATACACAAATGGCTCGGACAAATCGCATTGTACGTATTACATTCACAGTATGTCCGTGTTATGTATAGTAGTGCACAGTCTGGTCTATGAAAGAACAAAATCAAAATTTCTAGTCATTATATTGTAGATGAAATCATTATTTTGAAACATCATTAGAATAACATGTAATTTTTAAAAAGTTTAGACTGAAACAAACATTATATGCACTGATTTAGTGTTTAATATGTTATGAGCAGATGATATATATAGCATGAAATGTATTTGTATAATGTCACCAAATGTTCTGTCTTTTGTCTGTAAATAAATATTTATTGTGTCGATGAGTATGAAAATTCGATATATACAAGAATCTTAGCATGTTACATGTTAATTGTTCATGACAATTTCATGATTCATACGTATATAAACAATGGAGAGAAAGGACTGACGGGGCGGTGGACAATGGAGGATGGGTTTCGCACGGATGGCTTAGCTTACGCTGTGTGAAGCTTTATTGTTCATCTGTATCATTTACAGTCTGGTACATGTGGTACTCATTGCTTTTACTAAATGAAAAAACAAAAATGATATTGTGGCGTCCTTCAATTTTCGTTCAAATTTTAAAAAAAATAATCTAATATTGTTTGATTTACTAATTGCTATGAGAGGTGATATTAATGCTTGGCAAGAAAATGTGTATGTTTGTACTTTGAATTGCTTGTTTATAAACGTAAATTTGAAATTAATCTTCAGCTGACGGAACTTTATCTGAACAAAATGATCAAAATGATACACTGTCTGTCCATGGTAAGTTGTCATATAACCCACATTATATAACCAGGTTTGGAACTTTGTCATATAAATCCGTCCTAGGAATTCTTGACCCATTTCTCATGGCTTTAAATTCATTATTCATGTAATAACATTTAAAGCTGCTTCTGATGCTAAAATAATTCTGAAACTCGTGCACACACTCATGCACACACTTACACAGAACTGTTAGGTTTTGTTTTCTTTGTTCTTCTGTATATCTGATTTTTAACTGAAATTTGGCAATATGAAAAAAAATAGAATAGAGAAAAGTCATTTTTAGTTTTTAATACTAAGAAATACAGAATCTTGCATTTTTAATTCTTCATCAAAAGGAATTAAAAACAAATGAAATAGCAAAATTGTGTTAGTAATTGGTGGTATGATTATTTCAAACTTTATAAATGAATGCTGGATCTTATACAATATATTATAAAGATACATGATTTTTTTTGTACACATCCTTTACAAAGGTTTATGTCAATTCATCATGCCTTTGCATTGATCTTGGTGGGGGGGGGAAGAATTAGCAGTTTAACATAAGACATTAAAGAAATGATTTGAAAACAATTGGCAGCAGCTTTGATATACTCTATGGCAGTTTATATTTTGACTGTAATTCTCTCCCCTTAAGGTGATAGTCTTACATAACAAACATCAAAAAGTATACAGACATCTGTACAGGGATCATAGGTTCTCCCAGGAATAAATGTATGTGTAATGTTAAATTGAAGAAATGATAAAAAAATGAAACTTAACCTTCAAAGTCATTTTATTTCCTTAATTGAAATCTAGACTTGTTCAAATAAGTTAGAATCTTGACATTTACAAAAGAGATGTCTGTGTATTTTGAATTAATGACAAATCATTCTCTGCTTATCCTAATGTACCTGGGATTTTTGTAGCATCATACAAATGCACCTATCTTTACCATTTCCTACATTTCTTCAGAAAAAATCACACGATGGGTTAACATAATCGGTGTGTTTGATTGAATCTAGTGAGTGATTTAACTTTTACATGAACGTTTTTGCATTAGACATTTTGATCAACTTATTTAAAGAATCATGGTTAACTTATAAATAATATTTTAATGACAGATTTGCTGAAATAGTTAAAGATCCTGTATGTTTTGTGATTGATATTGTTACTGTGTGTATACCACATTTGCAAAAATTTATATATGTATATAATTATGCAAATAAAACAATTTTCAAACAACGAAGAATATGTAAAATGTGTACTGCAAATATTTGTGCACATTATATTTAATCAATAAATTATATCCATTCATTTCTTATTGGAAAATTTGACTTAGAATTTATAGAAAACAAATTTCTAATTACCTCCCTTTATTTACATGAAATGTTAAATTTGGTAATATCTTTATAAATAATGCTTATTTGAACTTACAATATTGACAAATCTTAATTTGAGCATCATATTTATTAAATAAAACCATGAAAGAAATGTGTTACAGGATCTTTAAATAACATCATAAAACTGATCATCGGTAAATGTGTTGAGTAGTGTTAAAAAGGACATTAATTCAGAAGTTGGGAAATAAATTTGAATTAAAAGGCAATTTATACCCATGGTAATGTTATTCGTGTCATCTAATAATAGTTTAGTGTACTGATTTTAGGACTCTATAACCTAGAAAATTTCATACCTTCATTCCATGCTAATAAATAACCCAAGTACAGTCAGACCTGTGCTGTCAGGCCCTTGAAACAGAACAAACTACCTAAATTGAATACCCACCTTTTATATTTCCAAGTTTTTCTGGCAAGATTAAGTGTTTCTATACCTTATTTGTCTGGTGATCTAACACAGGTTTGACTGTATTTCATCTTTGACTAAAACATATATAATCAGATCAAAATATAGAAATAATTTATCATTAAAAGACATATGAATTTACATGTATACATATACATCATACTGGTTAGATTATTTTACCTTATATTATAATGATGATTTTAGACATTGATATATAAAAGTTTATTTGAATAGTTACAGTATCAAGCATGATTACAGAGACAGCAATTTATTTCTGACGTTTTCTTTTAATTGTTTAGTTTCTGCCATTTTTTTCCTTGAATTTTGAGAATGTTTTTTTGCAAGAACAACACTGTGTTACTGTTTCTATTTTGCTATGGAGTGATATTTTGAATGTTTTTTATCTTTTATTTCTTGTTCAGAACATACCAACTATGTACATGTGATCATTAAGATTCCATTAATTCTTTGTAAAATTTGTTAAAAGAAAATTAAGAATTTTCTTATCATAAATGGTGTAAAATACATGTATAAAAATAGTCTGTCTTACCAGAATTATGTATGTAAGTGGAAAGTCTGAAAATTGTTTTTTTCTGATTTGAAACAAATTTTATATTCGGAGGAGAGAAAATAAGTTTGAAGTGGTTCTGGCACATATCAAAATAAAACTGGTAAGGCCAGTTACCCACCAGTACATGTAATACATGTTAAAGATAATTTTTATAATTAAAGAAATAAGTATTATATGAGAAGTTATGAAAATATCACATGTACATGTTTGGTTGCCATGTTCCAATTTTGTTGCCTAGCAACTAACCTGGCATGTTTGCCTGCAGATATGATGAGGAGCCGCCGTGACAGGCGGGCACGCCAGCGTGACTTTATCAAAGCACAGGAAACTACCACTTTGTTGAGGCGGGAAGGTGACAGAATGTCTATCGCTAGCAATGACTCTACAAGCACTTGCAGTAGTAATGGCAGTGCTGCACCTGTTGCCATGGAAACTAATTTACATGGCGATAATAAATACTCTTCTATGAGTTCACTTAGTGACACTGAATCTTTGGGTAAGGATTAGATAAAACCAAAATGTCCAAGTAGAATAGTTTGTCTCTGTCTTGTCATTCTGTTGTCTGGTGAACTAGGGTTACTATACTTCATGCAAATTGCAAAGTTCTGGGGTAATATCTGAATAGAAACTATTTTATTTTTTGAGCACCCTTACAGTACAGATATTTACAGGTCTAATATTTAATTTTGAATTTTAAATGATTGATTTACCTCATTTAAATCCTCAAGCAAACATGTTTTATTTATATATTTTTATTATGAAATAGATAAAAAGATACATTATATCATTAAAAAATATACTTTCTTATTATGTTATGAGCATTGCATGATAAGGTACATGATCATTGGATGATAAAGAACTATCCTCAGATAAAATATGTGCTATCCTCTGAGGGCTGTATGTTATGTTTTCACCAAAACCATGTTTTTCTCGCATGTTCACAACCCATATTTCATCTGTAATGACTTTAAAAATAAGCCTAATATAGATGGCTGTGCTTAGTAAAGAATGGGATGGGGGGAAATTAAGACACCGATGCAGGATTCTTTGGAATTGTTTTATAAATCTGGTTTAATTATTGAGTTTACTGTGTTCTTAACCGAATATATGAATGTGTCAAGGTCATTATGATTTTGTATTTAATCAAGATCTTTTAGTTAAATAATTAAAAGAAGTTTGTTCCTTACTGTGAAACTATTAGTGTTTATGTTTTAGAAATTTTTTAGTAAGTTGCAATGGCAGGTGGTCACTTTCTAAGTAAATCTGTTTTGGAAGGGAAGTAGACTAACAAATTTGCAAGGTAAAGTATTTATCAAGTCATTGTTCAGGTGAAATATGGGTTAAGAAATCAACTTGCTTTGAATGCTCACTAAACATATTCCTCATGAATTAACATTTACTTGTTCATCAGTATATTTTAATAGTTTGAATGATATTAGTGTTGAGTTGAGTATGTATTATATGTATGAACATTTTCATGTGTGTTACAGATAACCAGCATCTCAAAATGGGCCGGGAACCACCAGATAAGAATTACCTTCGGTCACAGAAACCGGATGAATCTGGGTACCAGTCAACGGACGATCACAGTCGGTTACAGGAGGATGGATATTATAATGAAAATGAATCTCAAATGCAAAATGGTGATATGCAAGGAATTTCAAACAATAGACGTTGGCTAATGTACAAAATGGCTCACAAAGATGATGAGTCAGGACAAAATGCTATAAACGATCAAAGTATGTCTCCAAGAGATAAGCTTATAAATGATAATCAGACATCACCGACAAGTGCTAAATTAGATGATAGTCATAATAAAGTGAAATCTGAATTAGAACGTTTCGCAAACAAGAAACCGGAGGATACGGGACCAAAGCGACCTTCTGGGCCGGCTGGAGATAAATCTGGGCTAATTAGTCAGGCCATGGAAAATTTGAACAAAAAACAAGAACCTACAAAACCATCAGAACCTGTTATACATAATAAACCTGATGTAAAACAAGCAGAAAGTGACTTACAATGGGAAAGATTAGCCAAACGTTTTCATCGTTCTCTCAAAATTAATGATATGGATTTTACAGATTTAAAAGATGATGACGATACTGATGTGTTCGCTCCTCCTAAAGTTGACTTAGGTTCAGGTGTACCGCCTCACAAACCACCAGGTATGGTCAGTATACCGCCGACACAACCAGGAATTCCTGGAGCTCCTCCCCTGCCCCAGGACTGGCTCCCCCTGCCCCACCCCCACCAGGTGGTATGGCTATACCACCACCTCCCCCGATGGGATTAGTAGCATTCCAGCCAGCAATGACAGTGGATTTACCTCCACCACCAGGTGCCGACTTGCACAAAAATAAAAAGACTGTGAAACTTCACTGGAAAACTGTTCAACCTGAACATCCTCATCCGGCAACAAAAGGGGAGACAATTTGGAAGAATATTGTTAAAGTAAAAGTAGATCCTGACAAATTGGAGCATTTGTTTGAGACAAGACAAGCAGAATTAAAACAAAAGGTCAGTATTGTATATTTTGTTTAGAATTGGATATCAAATATAATTATGAACTTTCGTTGATTATTAATTTTGTCTTTCAGCTGAAGCTGAGTGCTATTTTTTTTATGTTTTATCAAAGCAGATTACTGTAGAAAATTTATAAATGCTTGTTTAAAATTACTTTGCTAATAGTTTTTTAACATACGTTTATTTTAAGTATTTTAATTTTTAATGTAGATTTATAAGTGAATGAAAATAAAATGTGAATGAAAGCTTTCATAGCTTTAACAATTAATTGTAGGCATTTGTCTTTGCTAAACTGATCTTTTTTGTTTCACAATTTCTTACAAAAGAAATTTAGAGCTTAATTGTGATATTTTGATAAAGTGTTGTTACTGTGATAATAATTTTACATGTGATAATCAAGGAGCAGATGTTATGGGTTTAGCTTATTTAATATATACCAGAAGTACAATGTTCAATTTACACATGTTATGACTGTTTAATACTGTTTCACTGCCTTCAAAAGCTTGCGAAGATTCTCTATATTTTGTATGTAAGTTAAAAGCATCATATCAATTGCTATTTTTTGGCAGAAATATCTGCTGGATATAGCTCTTTTCCTTTATAAGACTAATTTTAAAATTCAAAATTATTTTAAGAGCTTTGTTCCTTTTTTGCAAACTTAAATTTCCTGATATGAAAGACATTGACTTTTGCCAACAACAACAATAAAAAATCTTGTCAATTTGATGCTTTTCCCTAATAAAGAAACAAATATTAAATTTGATGACAAAAAATAAAAAATGGGGATGTGGGAAGAACTAACTCAAGCTATTGATTGCGTGAATAACTTTGAAATCTCATTTGTCAAAAGAATTAATTTGATATGTTTTAGATATGTTTTAGATATTGTAACAGAATGAGAAAATGATGTGATGAATGTATTAATATTTTTTCACATACACTCCAACAAACACAAGTTTGTCTTACTGTTCACAAATACCCAATTACCTCCCTTGAATAAAGGAGATATTTTGTCAAGCCTGTCCTTGGTGACCTTGACATAGTTACAATGACATCTGTCTGTATGTGTACATGTTTATCCATCAGTAACCATCGAACAAATGAATATGATAAAGTTACTAGAAAAATTTAGATATTGTATTGTTACTCTTCTGCCGCTCTTATATGACTTCATTTAGTAAAAGTGTCATGACTTGAGGGTGACAAATATGGAAGTCATGTAATTGCAAATTTATAATGGCTTTCTGAAATAATTATGTCACACGCAAGACCGATGTCAGTAGCTTATTCAAGGTTCAGGTCCTGTTAAATTGGTCAAATATTTAACACAGAGCTTGACAAGCAAATAGTCTGCAGGTATTATGTTATCCAAAGTTTTGGATTTTTCCAAAACCCCTGCTTAATAATGATAAAATTAGTTACAGAAAGCTTACTTTTACAACGTGGAGTTACTTTTATCCTGTATTTTGTACATTACTTATGTATTAACCAGTTGAAATATTTGAAATGTGTAGTAATTTGATTATATTGTGATTCTTTTTCATGCTTGTTTACTACGCTGGATTTTAATTGCATGTTGTATGCTCGTTCATAATTCAGGAAACGGTAAGAACCAAAAAACAAACACCCCCAAACAATCAAAGCACTGAATGTACTGATGGGGAGGCTATGAGAGAATGTTTCAGACTTATAGTTTCTTTTCTTTTTGCTTAAAATATGCTACCAAAATAAAAAGATATGCACATTGCGCTATTTATCCTTACTGTTGTGTTCAACCATTCATATATATGGTTAATGAGGTTGACTATTCATTTTGTTAATATTCCAGAACATTTAATTAAGGTCTACATTCGGACTGTTAATCATGCAAATTTTGAAAAACCTAAACTGTCAATAATAAATGACATACCAGCAAGTATGACGACTGTTCATTATCAGATAACAATAACATTTTACAACTGACGGTTCCTTATCAAAATATTCTAGGACTGTTCATCATAAATATTTTATGTCATTTTAATATTATTGAATGATAATAACAACTGCAGTGATGCAACATTTTTATTGAACATAAAAATTATACACGTTTAGATGTACCATAATTGAGATCAATAAGATACTGTCTTGTGATGAGTATTAACATTCATGCTCTACGGACAGAAGGTTGTCTTCTTCAGAAGCAAATCTCGAATAAAATCACGTTTCAGAAAATTAATCCCATTTCATTACTGACGGCATCGGATAATATTAAAGCTAAATATTTCTTGAAAAAATACATCTCTGCAAAGCTTATTCAAAAACTGAATCAACCTAAGTGAAAATTGATCAGGAAGTTATATCTTCTTTTTTTTACCGCCAACACTCAACACTCAACCAACTTATGGTAGTTAATCGATAGATTCTACGTGTATTTTTTAAACCTCACTAGCTTGAAATATATACTGCGGAAAAATCTGTTGTTAACAGGGTGTGCGGTTATTACGTAGGGTTTTCCCTGTCGACCATTTCCCGCAAATAGATGAGAACATCGAAGCCGTCAGTGCTATGAATGGTGTTATAAATGGCGTGTTTTGGAAGTTTTTTGTTGAAACTTCTCCAAATACCTCCAGAGGCGTGCACGTCGCGGAGAAGGCACACGGAAGGTCATAGTCAAGTCATCATAAGTACCAGAGGTGATTGGTTGACCTGTCGTGACTTACTCTGGAGGTTTGGCGCTAATAGATGCCGTTTTTGTTGTCGTCAGTCAGAAAGTTGATGCCTTGACGGTATTGTCGTCTCCTTTACCACCAAAGAACGAAGAATGGGCTTCCAGGAAGAATCTGCTTGAAAAAGACGTCCCAGATGCTATAATCTCGGACATATGGTTATTCCGGCGCCGAGTATAAATAAACTTAAAACACACACACTTTTGTTGAAAACAAAACAACATCACATTTTCTGTAGTAATTTTTCAAGTGTTGTAAAATGAATAAGAAATTCCTCTTATGCCGCCCATTATTTTTAGAACACAACCATAAAAGTTTCTTTTTTTTTATTTTTCAAATAAACATTTATCACTTCAGCGCGAGCAAATATCGGTTTCAAATTAAAGTTTCGTAAGATATGTTTAATGACTTCCCGATGCTCGACTGTAAGTAATTTGTATATGTATGCGGTTTTTTTTTTGTTTTTGTTTTTTTGTTTTTGTTTTTTGATTAAAGCTTCTTATTCTTTAATATTTTTAATGTATCTCATAATCTGTATTGAAAATTTGAATTTTATTACAAATGGACTATCAAATTATGATGTATGCCCTAGAATTGAATAAACTTTCTAATTACACAATACGGGGTCATACTGATCTTGCGTCTTTCTCTGAAATACTTATTTCCTTGTTAAAACATATTTGACCACATATTTCTGTCAATTAACTGTTCACTTTACTTCCGATTTTGTTGTACGGAAACACATGTTTCTATTTGTGTTTTCTAATCAATTCGAATCTATAATCAGTTTAATGGGATCACCACCGGGTAAACGACTACTAGGTACTTTGGTCATGTTTTTTTACCACAAATATTTGAATGTTTCTATTGGGATTAAAATGAGCATAGTTAACTAAACAACTGTTTGTATAAATTCCTGACCTGTCTAATTCTAATTATGAGATTAGTGAATATATAAGACTTTCACTACAAAATATTCCTAAACAAAAGAGCACATGTTTAAATTTATTCCTATACAAATAAAAGATCAGAGTAGGGATCTGTCAATTACCAAAGATACTTTTATGTTAAAAGTTTGATTAATGAATTATGTAAGATGAAAATATAAGTATTGCTTTTTTTTATTTTTGCTAATGTAAAATGTAATATTGTGCTGGGATTTTGTCGGAGGTCCTTAGGGGTTTTGTAGTTAAATAGTTTTTTTTTCGGCGATAATGGTTAAAGAATAAAATGTTTTTTAAACTATATGTTCATCACCATCAGTGAATTTTTTAGTTAAATGTATGCAAAATATTTACTAAACAGCTATATGATTTAGCGGTTTATGAGCGTTTTCCGCGTACAGCCTCCTGGGGTGTACAAATAAGTTAGTTTTCCTTAGTTATCACGCAAGCATGATCCATGTCTCTGATGTAAGCGACAGTTTACAATTATTTGTCTTTAAAAAATATTAAGGACTATTAATAGTTTATAACAACAAAAGCACATGCATGATATTGAGAATACGTAGTTGCAACGTTCTAGTTAATGACCCGTCATAAACAGTTGGTCGCTGCGTAGTAATTGGAAAATTGTTATCAAAAATAATAAAGAATATTTGCCACTGAATTAAAGCATTTACTTATAAATTTTCATTTATGCTTTTTTGTTAAAAAAATATGGATAAAGTTATTATTTTGAAGGGTTTTCATACCAGAACTATTTAATACAGACGTACGTAATATGCCTAAACCTGATTACCGCGGCAGTATGACGTCACGGAGTAGTGATTTAAACAAAAATCAAGAATTTTTCAGAGAATTATTATCTTTACAAATTGCAGATATGAAATTAAAGAATGAAAATATTTTCATATTGTAAATGTCTGTGATGAGTGATGAGTCAGCTTAGAAAAAATCAAAGTACTATTTTTTGACCTGATTACCGTGGCAGTATGACGTCACGGAGTAGTGATTTAAACAAAAATCAAGAATTTTTCAGAGAATTATTATCTTTACAAATTGCAGATATGAAATTAAAGAATGAAAATATTTTCATATTGTAAATGTCTGTGATGAGTGATGAGTCAGCTTAGAAAAAATCAAGGTACTATTTTTTGACCTGATTACCGCGGCAGTAAGATTTGACAGACAGTTATTAACATTGGGTCGGCATAGCCTCCCCAAAAACAACAACATTTACTATCTTACCCTTGTCCCCCTATATTACAATATACAGTTTAACCCTATTATTACCTCAGATTTATTATATCCTGTACCCACTATTATATGGAATGAAATTCACCCTCGTTGTTTTTATCATTCCATTATAGACATTTATATGTTTATGTAACAGTACTCAAAAAGCACTTCTCTTGCACTTTTCCATCACTTACACTGTATTTCAAGCACCTACTGGTATATAAGGGAAAAATTGTGACAAGTAACATTAAATTTTCTGTAAATCTTTTGGGAATTATTGTTTGGCAACAACATACAACTTGATGTTTCTGGTTCTGGTTGCTTCTTGGTGCAGTGCCTGTTGTCAGTTAACTCATAATGTGTAACAAAGACCAGATAACTGTCCGTATTATTGTTCTATGAGAATACAAATTTCCTGTCCTTTTAGAGTAGAATACTAAAAAATAAGTTGACAATAGTGTTAAGCATGTAATCTTTTAAATAAGCCAGTGGGATTAAGTACTTGCCCTAGTACTTGTATAAAATCAGGCCAGTTTCCACATCAGAAAGTCGACTAGACCAAATATACTATTGCCTGCATAATTTAAGCACAAGTTGAAATCTAGTTAGTTCTGGATACAAAAGAAGACAAGGTCTGTTACTCACTTGCAGAAGGGTTAAGGTTAATAATGAACAAAAATGAAAGTGCAAGAAGAGTGTGTCACAATATCAATGCTATGAATGGATCATTATATTATCATACTGTCCTGTGAGTTGAGACAAGCATTTTTGCCCCTCTCTTCCCCCAGAATAAAGTTAGGTCTTGAATATATGTGCATGAATTGTCTATTCTCTAACAAGTATTGTCTTGATATGATTAGTCTTTCAGGCAATTTACAAATGAACATGCTTTAGTGTAGTTGTTAACCCTGAAAATAAGTTAAAACATTGGTTATATATTCAGAAAACAAAAAATTAGGTTACAATATGACAATATGTCGAATTTTCCACTAGTTCTATTCCAATCTTTAGATTACCATATGAAAAAAATTAAGATCCAGAAAAAATCATGTCAGTCTGTCGGATAATTGGCTATTTGAGTTCCTGGTAACCAATAGCGGGACAAACTAATGATATCATGCTTGGCCTGTTTGTTTATCTGTACAAGTCAGAATTAGACTTGTTCATCATTTTAATTTTAAAACAATATGTAAATTCATTTAAATTGAATTAGAAATGAATAATTTTTTAAGTTGAGATTTGTCATCAGGGTCAAGATCAAAGGGAACTTTACACTGAAGCTATGTTTATTTGTTCCAATAGTGTTGCAAGTCTTATACTAATAGAATGCTGGCATGAAGTTTTAACATATATAATTTCTGTATATGATAATATTGCTAATATGTCAAGCAGACGACAATTCTGTTTCTCATCTTTTTTGTTGAATTACATGTATCATTATTTTGTGGCAAAATTTTAAAATTTGAAGAAACAAAAAACGAACAAAAACAGAATCGTCCTTTGGAAAGTTTTATATTTTTTAAAAACCTCTTCACAAGAATGGGAGAAAAGTGTTTTGTTTTTTTTCAAATGATTTGTACAATGATTTATATTTTGAGGGATTTTACCTGAGTTTATCCAAAAACTGTTAACATCTTGTTGAGAGGTTTATATGTCTTACATATTGTAATACATGTATCTGAAGTACAGTCAAACTATCACCATCTCATATAGTGGTGTTTGTTGTTAGGTATTCACAGTTTCAAACATTCAAATCGTTTAAAATGAAAATTAAAAAAAAATTATTTAAAGAGCACACTCTTTTCAAAGAAAGTCTTAAAAGCATAATTATGTTTGACCGTACTTTGTATAAATAATACAAAAATGGGCTGAAAGTTTTGCTTTTTTTTTCAAATAATGAAATTTGACTATATATATAAAGTAAGAACAGATGCATCTCATGAAGTCTCTGAATTTATTAGGGATTTGCTGTTTTTCAAGATTTTGATATTTAGTTGTAAACAATATTTCTTTACTTGGAATATTTGCTAATGTAAAATTGATAATAAAGTGTTTGTAAATTAAGCAAAACTAGCAGCCTACTACAGTGTATGTAATGGATCATTTCTTATCTTGCATGTTGTTCTCGTGTACTTGTTTGGTATGATACAAATATATGTATAAAATTTCATTATCTCTCGCCATTATTTGAAATTATGAACTTTAACAAAGCTGGGGCTTAAGAACCAGTCTCAGATGAAAACATCTGATTTGGAAGTTTGTGACACAGTTTTGAAATTTACCAATGACAAAGGACTGTTTTGTAACTGGAAATAAATATACAAAAGAAAAAAAGATGCAGATCTTTATAAATTATAATAAGGGTATCCAAACAAGTACATGTTACAAACTTTTTTCAGCACTAACAGCTTTATTTAAGACTGATAGGTTTGCTGCAGGTGATGGGAAAATTTTATTTTTCATACTCATTCTTAAATTGTATTGTTCTTTGGCTTGTGATATAACTTTAATATATAAACTTGAATTCTTGTATATAAATTGCTTGATATTTGTTACATTTCGGATTTGCAATAAATTTCTTTCAGGTTTGCCAATTAATGTAGATTTAATTTTTGCTTCTCATAGTATATTTAATCTATTACTTGAAAGTAACTTTTTAGTGAAATGAAGAATATTACTGCAAATAAATACAGTTTTTATTTATTTATTTATATTTTTTTTGTTTTGACAGAATAGGAATTAACACTAACCAAATAGGAAGTGTGATTAAATAAGCTTTTTTACGAGAATGATTAGATGTTTCTAATTTCGTTATTAATTAATAAAACTGTTGTTACAAAAAATTTAAGACTTTTTTAATGTTTAAAAATTTTCATTCATGAAACATCTAATCGTTTCCTATAGAACATTGTTGACCCATAAGCTTATGATACCAGAATGTTCCTATCAAAATAAAATGTTCTGTTTTTATAGCGACAAGAAGCCGCTGGTAAAAAAGAGATCACTGTGTTAGATCCGAAGCGTTCAAATGCCATCAACATTGGTCTTACTGTCCTACCACCTCCCAGAACAATAAAAGCTGCGATATTAAAGATGGACAACTCTATCATGAACAAAGAAGGCATTGAGGTAATTGCATTCAACAAATTCTCTCCCTTGTCTTAATTTGTCACAACTCTTGATGTACATTAGTTCAGATGCTATTTTAATAATATCTCAGCATGTTAGACACACCTAATGAAGATTTCACGTTTTGTGTATATTTTTGGTTATAAAATTATTGTATAAATGGTATGCGGGATAAACATGTCCGTGATAAAAGTGCTACCAAGTTTACTAGCAGCGGATGGAGGGATAACACCAGTAAAACTACAAGCATTAGAAGAGATTCAAGTCTGGTGGTCAAGGTGTCTGCCTTTTAACGTTAGCCCTACTAGGGTCATAATAATGTAAAATGATTCTTGTCTCATGTCGCATTGCATATAACAGGTTGGTGCCCTTATTATCAAAAAAGTATATTGTTGTTGTTGTATCACATATGACACCAGTATTGGTTAGTTTAGGATGGTTAGTTCAAGGTAGTTAGTTCAAGGAGGCAGACTTGAAAGTTGTTTAAATAAGCTTCAAGCTTTCATGATAGTTGAGCAAAAATAAGTAATACTTCAACACAACAACTTATACCTACATGATCTACATTTCAGAAAATTTTGAATACAATGATACCATCAGATGAAGAGAAAACAAAGATCTTAGAAGCCCAGCTTGCCAACGCTGATATCCCGCTAGGTACCGCAGAACAGTTCCTGCTTACATTGTCTTCCATCAGCGAGTTACAGTCTCGTCTTAATGTGTGGCTCTTTAAACTGGATTATGACACCATAGAATCTGTACGTTCTTGTTATACACTTGTATACCTTAAATTTTCATTGTATCTTTAGATAACTTTTCCTTTCTTATTTTTTCATATGACAAGAGTATAGCTCTTTCATAGAAGGGGACTGGGAAAAAAATTGATTCACATCAGCTGATATTTGTTGTTATGTGTGAATAAACTAATACGCTCAACAAGTCAAGATTGTGTGAGAAGTTTTCAAGTAAATTTTAACAGTTAATCTCAGTATTCAAATGAATTTATATCAGCTTTTGTTGAGAACAAATGAAACAAATAATTATATTTTATTTTACATAATTTGTGATTGTTTGCTAAGTTTATCAAGATTTTAGTACATAATATTTACTACATGTAGTTTGTAATGAGTTGTTTCATATGATACTTAACTCATAATAAAATTTGTCCAGATTAGGAATGCATAGAAATCAATTTGATTGGTTATTGAATATAAAAGACCTGGTATAAAACAAGATAATCATTCCTAAGTACAGGTTGCTCGCCCATATAGTAATTATTCTGGTGGTTAGGGTATACAAACCTAAACACACCCACTAAAGTACTGGTATGTTACTAATTTTCATATATTCTGTGTTATAATGATAGGAAGTAGCAGAGCCCCTGATGGACTTGAAGAAAGGTATAGATGAACTACAAGATAATAAAACATTTAAATACATCCTGTCAGCCATTCTTACCATTGGTAACTTCCTCAATGGAGCTCAGGTCTGTACTAAAATTGTATCTGTCTGTGTATATTGTTGAAATGTATATTTTTGATCGTTAGTTTCCTTGATGTGAAATATTCATTTAACACAAACATGTATGGACAATTTTACTTTACCAATGTCAATAAGATATTCTGCATTTTTCCCAGCAAGTTAATATCTCTAGTAAACACTTTCACTTAAAACCATGTCACTTGAAAACCATGAAAAATTTAGCTCATTCATGAAACAGGTTTAACTTTGAATGAAATGTCACTGGTTCAAAATTATTACTTGTTAAATGCTAAACGTAAGTAAATTATCATTCTTTTTCAACAGTAATCAATTCTTTAAAAATAATGAAAAAAAAATTTATCGCAAGATTGGGGATACAAATTTTAATATTGCAGAATAAAAGTTGCAAGAAACTCTTAAGCTTATTTGTATTTTCTTTCATACAAAATTTCAAAGTGAATTGTCTGCATAATATATTGATCTATTAAATATTTATCAATTAAGTAAAGATCTATTAAATATTTATCAATTAAGTAAAGAATTTTTGTGATTTTTTTTTTCAGGTTCGTGGATTCAGTATAGAGTACCTGTCAAAAGTACCAGAGGTTAAAGACACTGTACATAAACATTCTATCTTACATCATTTGTGTACTATAATCATAGAGCAGTTTCCTGACAGTACAGACCTGTATTCAGATATAGGGCCAATTACACGATGCTCAAGGGTAAGATACAGGAATTTCAATCCAAATTCATGTACATATTTTTGAAAAGATGACTTTCATTGTAACTTTTTTGGACTCACCAATTTAAGAAGTTTTCTGTTCCATATTTATATTTCATACTCGACTGCCTACCGGTAGGTACTTTGGTATTTGTAAGCTTGTTTGCTTCTGTCATTAATTCTATGTTTTGGTCTTTACAATTTTGTTGCATTTAAAAGGAAGATTTCATATTGTGTTGTGTATATGATAAAAGTGAATATTCAAATATTTTAGATGTGTTCAAATTGATTGAATATGAACTGTTAATTTTAGAAAATTCAATATGAACTGTTAATTATAGAAAATTCAATATGAACTGTTAATTGTAGAAAACTTACAGAATTTGACTATGAACTGATATTATAGCTATTGCAAAGCTGTTTAACCGTTACCCCACTTGATTTTATATTAATGTACATGCTCTGCTTTGTTGATGGAATAGTCTTTCAGTAATTATAAGGATTTCAATGTTAGAATTATTAAAATTGAGAACCCAGACAAACAGAGTCTAGGACCCCTAATTGAAGTGTAGGTGGTAGCTTTGATCTGTTTATAAAGATTTAAGCACTTGTAAAATTAAGTTCACTTAAAATTCACTTCCATTTTATTTGGAAAAAAGAAAGAAAAACGTCATAATTTTCTGTATAATTTATGGTATTTACTGACAAGTGGAATTATTATCAATGGTTTGTTTTGAATATATTACAGGTTGACTGGGATGTTTTGTCACAGAAGCTGGACAAATTGGAATCTGATTGTAAGGCGTCATGGGACAATTTACGTGCAATAATCAAACATGATGGAAGCTCAAATTCACAACTCAAATCCAAGTAAGTGGTAACAATAATGTTCAATTTGTGTACAATATAGAGGTCTGATTTCCATATAAAACAAAGTCACTTGTACCTTTATAAAAGATAAAGGCTTAACAATGTTACAATGTATATATGATTTAACTACATAAAGAAAAATGTTTAATATATGTAGTATATATATGTAATTTTAAGTTTTAAGTTCAAAAATATATTAAGTTTTGATAATTCTTTACAGAATGTCTGAGTTTTTGGGAGATGCTGCGGAAAGAATTATGATTCTTCAAATAGTTCATAAACGTGTCTGTAACAGGTAAGTGAAATAGTCCAGTAAATAGTTCTGCACCGTTTTCTGTAATTAAATAACAATGCAACAATGTTGAAGTTGAATTCTATTTAATATACTGACCAGTTGACCTGTAATCACAAGTTGTTATTAAAAATAAAAGGCTTTCCCAATGAATTAATTAAATTGTTAGGCTTAACTAAAAATATTCTGGAAATGTTATATGGCCTAGTATGAAAATATGTAAGATTATATGGACCCAGTCTGTTACAAGAGGGTTATACAGAAAATAACTATTTATATACATGGACATACAACCTGACAAAAAACATTTCACTTTTTTATTACAGATCAACTTGACTCTTTTTGTATTGGAAAAAAAAGAAAATTTAATTCATAAATTTATATGTGTATGTTCTTTCACAACCTTTCAATATTACATTCAATAATTATAGCTAACAAAAATATATGAATTAACAAAAAATATATGAGCCACGTCACGACAAAACCAACATCATGGGTTTGCGACCAGCATGGATCCAGACCAGCCTGCGCATCCGCGCAGTCTGATCAGAATCCATGCTGTTCGCTTACCAACTCTATTACAAGTAGAGAAACTGATAGCGAACAGCATGGATCCTGATCAGACTGTGCGGATGCGCAGGCTGGTCTGGATCCATGCTGGTCGCAAACACACTATGTTGGTTTTGTCATGACGCGGCTCATATATATGCTTGCAATGATAAATTACATGGACGAAAATTGTTTGTTCATCAATATTTTACATAAAATATATTATATTTTAGATATCACAAGTTGTTACTGTACATGGGTTTACCATTGTATCAAGCGAAGGAGCTCAAAATTAACCAATTCTGCAAGATAATCAGTGAATTTGCTCTGGAATATCGTACAACACGTGAAAAAGTTGTACAACAAATGGAGAAGAAAGCCAACCAACGAGAGCGTAAAAAGACAAGAGGAAAAATGATTGTAGATGTAAGATTTTATTTCAGTCTTGTGTGTTAATTTGTAGATCTTCTTCCAAGCTTTTCAAGTTGCATTTGAATATTTTTCCTGCTTTGCTTTACCTGTTAGGTTGTTAAAGTGGTGACAATATATTGTCAGGGCTCAAAAATCATGTTGTCTTTTTATGGTTATTGGTCTTACTTTAAAAATCTTTATATCTTTAAGATATTTTTTATGTAAAGTACCAGAATAGAATGGCTTAAGGTTGATCAGTTTTGAAAAACTTTACCAGGTTAAGCTTAAGGTGGTCTAGTTTTGAAAAACTTTACCAGGTTAAGCTAAAGGTTGACCAGCTTTGAAAAACTTTACCAGGTTAAGCTAAAGGTGGACCAGTTTTGAAAAACTTTACCAGGTTAGGCTTAAGGAGGACCAGTTTTGAAAAACTTTACGAAGTTAACAGGAAAAATGTTGGTTATGAGTTAAAGCCTAGGGCATAACAAGACAATATTAAAGAAGTTATTCAGGGTTATGAAATTACTTGTAAAAGGCTTTCTACACTGAAATTAAATAAATTACTCTTTCCCAGATACAAAGAACATATACACTGTTGATGTTTATTTAGTGACATGATTATTGAGCTCTGTTCAAGCTTAAATTGATAATTTTGTTTAAAGACCACATTCTTTCTGCTGCTTTCCCAGAATGCATTTCACTTTGATTCTTACCAGTCTGGCAAGTTGTGGTGATTGTTCAGTTTTTGTTGTTATTTTTTTTATCCTCCAAAAAACATGTGTTGGTTTGTTACAATATTTCAGTATTAAATATTTTAATTCAACAAGGCATCTTTTAATAATATAAATTTTATGCAAAACACTCCTTATCTTTCATTTTGAATACACTTCTCTAAGAATTTTTCCCCATTTTACGCATGATTTTCTCGAGCATATTAAAATTTTATACTTCTTTGATACCAGTCCCTTTGTTACAAATCATACAAAAAAAACTTAAGTTTTCCTTACAATTGTTTCTAAATTTCTAATTCCTTACATACTGTATAAGTGGATATTTCCGCGTGTCGAAATGTTAGCGAATTTAAAATTCCTCACATTTGGCGTGAGAAAATATTAGTGAAATGTGCAAAATGTGCAATGTTAGAATTTAATGACAGGTTGGTTGATATTTATGCTAGAGGAAATTTAAGCAATTTTTTTTTTCAATTCCTGAAATTCACAAATATTTCCACGTCGCTAACTTAACCACTTATACAGTACTGTTGTATTAATTTGTTACATGTTTGTGCGGCGGCTAGTTTTGTGTTGTATATGATTTGTATGGTTTGTTTATACAGCTTACATTGCCTGATGGCATTGACAATAAGATCAAGAAGGCAAGTTTATGATGATGTTATCAATCAAGATGAATGAATCATTCATTCCTAGAAATATCATCTTTTATTGCCAATAGTTGTGTTTGAAAAAATGAAATCTTGATTGTTTTTCCAGAATGAAATTTTTGTTTTTGTTCGTTTTTGTTGTTACCTTTCTGTTATGACCATTTTATTCATATGACAGAACTCATAATTTATTTAAAAATAAATATTTATTTTTTTGTTTATCAGGTTAATGCTTTTCTTATGATAATAACCCATTTAATATGATTCCAGAAATAATAGGACTATAATACATCCACAGTTATAGAACTTCCAGAAGGATATTTGTCCTTTAATTAAGTTTCCAAAATTGTCTTTGTTTTGAAATTATAACTTTTTTTTAATGTAAGTTTGTTGTTATATTCTTTTTAGACAACAAAACCCTTAATCAATTGGGAAGAAATAACGCTAACCAACATGACTCAGAATTTACTCTGTTACTGATATAAATGCTCTCCCAACCTCTTTCTTGAGTTCTGTCACGTGATTATGATGGTAATTTAGTAGGTAGTGACCGTTGATTTTCTAACGCAGGAATTATGATTTGACATTATGCTCATTTATAGCTTTCATCAGTCGAGGTGATGCACCGTAACTTAAATTCTGATTTGGTGAGAAAAAATAATCAAAAAATTATATTCACTTATAATAATATTATGAAAATGAAGCTGTAAAATCATTATATTTTGTTGGGCATTAAATTTTTTAGGGAATTTTATGTCCAATGATGCCAAAAGATTGATTTCTGGTAAATTTAGATGGCAAATATTTTTTATTTAAAATGATTAGTTATCAAATTTTTGTATCTGAATGGGGAAAAACTGTTTTGTTAAAAATTGTTGAATTATTGCCCATGAAATATTTTGATTTTACAGTATATTGTCATGTTTTAGAACATACGTAGCTAGATGTTGTTTACAGAATACAATTATGATAACACAGTGATTTTGCTCGATGGTGTATTTTTCATGTACATTTTGCATGCTCTCTTATTAAGGGTTTCTTTGGATATCTGAATGACTTTATATCATAAATAAATATCATAAATAAATATGAACAAAAGTGTTTATTATTGTTTCATATCAATTGATCTAGGAACTTGATACATAATTGTTTTCATTCACTTCAAAAATTCATTTTTTTTTGGAACCACAAAAGAAATTATCTTTAATAAAAACACTTCTAACATTGTTTTTTTGATGGAAATGCATGAATGGTATTAAAGGGTAATCTTTCATTTTTTGGTCAAACTATGAGTAAATTTTATTTTGTATTACTTGTTCACTGTCTATGATTTATTTTCACTTACACATATTGTCAATATATTCAATACAGAAATATGCCGAAAAGTTTAAACACTTGTCATTCATATAAAATATATCCATGTGCATTTTTCATTTAACATTTAACTTAAATTATGTCAAATATATGAATTTGCCTATGATTTTCAAAGCATATAATAACTTTACAATATAAATCTGATATTAAATACTGAAGAAATATATTTTGATACATTCACTTACCAAAAATAATTTGACAAAGTACTTATGAATTTTAGATAAAAAGAAAAATAGGATGCCCTTGCTGAAAAAACGTTTACGACAGTTGCATTCTTGTTGTATAATACTATAATCTGTGTTTGTAGATGGGTAAATTCAAGGGCTCAAAGGGGAAGAATGCCAAGCCAGACGATCAGAGCGAGGAGGCGTTACAGCGGGTTCTTGCTAACGGCTACACTAGTGCAGATGACCGAGGGTTACCTGGACGACAAGGACGTAGAAAGATGGGACCAGCAGGTTAGTATTAGTCATGGTTGAAATCAGTCTTAAGGAATAGGTTATAATGTTATCATTGCCTAAACAGAATGACTACATTAATGTTACTACAGAATTTTAATTTATGATATATAAAAATGATACAAATTTTTAAATTGTCCTAGTCTGACTAGAGATGTTAGGATTGCTAGTTGCATGGGTTTAAACTGCATCATAGGCAAACTTGTTTCTCTGAGCAAGAAACTTTTCAATCTGCTGTAAAGCACTGGTTGGTTCCTTGAATGAATTTGAGAGTGTGCCTATAAGCTTATAGCTTCTGACATAATGGAACTTAAATAAATTCTGTTTAAACTTATCATTCTATATGGTTGTAAAAATCACAGGACAACTCTAGATTTCCTATTGCCAGGCTGTCTTTTACAGTACATTCAATAGTTAAATACTTTTATATCAAGCTTTCACTGAATGTAGGTTTCCAGGAGTACTTTCAAAGATAATCATTGCTTATTCAAAATGAAATGCATTGACACAAACTGGTCTATTTTAATGTTTATTTTGTGTTTGTAAACAAATTATTGACATTTTTGATGTCACTTATTCATTATGTAAAATTGTTTTAAAACTTACAGAAACTTAACTCTGAATCAAATGTGTTCTCTGTGCTCTTCAATTTGAATATTTTGATCAAGAAATCTTTCCTTTATATGCTTGACAGTTTAAAATATTTTAAATAATAAGCAATATGAGTTCATGACACAAATAGAGCAGGGCTAAAGAGTGCAAAAAGGTAATGAGAACTATGGTGTCGTGTTTTATCTTTCAGACAACAAGAGAAACAGTATATCTCGGGGTGGGGTAACAACTGACTCGGAGATGTACGATACCGGGGACGATGAAATCCTAGAAGCTTGTGTACGTACTGCCACCACTCCAAGTACTCGTGCACCCAGGGAACGCAGAAGGTCAAGAGGTCAAAAAGACAGGAAATCATGTAAGTAAAGTTTGATATAACTTTTATATAGAAATATCTTGTACACAAAATTTGCATAAGTTCATTATAGAATGATGTAACTTATATACTCAGAATGTTCTGTTCTTGAAAGTTTGTATTAATATATTCTTGTAGATAAATAGCTTAATACAGTAGTTCCTGTCATAGATATAAGTTAAAGAAAGGAAACTATATTTTCCTGAAAATTAGTAATCTTTTTGACAAGTAAATTTAAAAGATTAGTTCTTAAATTATCTTCTTGTAATTTGTTTGTGTTTCTTTATCAAAAATATATATTTTAATGTGTTCATAGTAAATTAGATATTGTAAAACAAATATTTATTTCTTTTACTCATGCACTATTATACAAAGGGTATAGCACAAGCTTTTTCCAGGCACCTGCTTAGGATAATCTATACACAATGCTTCCACCCTGGTCTCGCACAATATGCTACACTCTTTACAAAATTCTACTTCAAATGCATTAGTTTCAGGATAAAAAAAAGAAAGAGGGGACCTTTTCCACACTTAATATCTGTAACTGACTTGTCCATGCTTCAGGCTGACCCAATCTTTATTTCTAGGGAAAATTTCACAATAACTGTTGACTAAAAAGCGAATTTCACATTAACTACTGACTAAAAAGCAAACAGTGCAGACCATGATCAGATGGAACAGATGTGCCGGCTGATCTTGGTCTGCACTGGTAACATAGGTAGATTCTGTTGCCACCTGCAGCTTAAAGTTTAAGAGAGAATTTGTTTTATTAATAAAAAAATAAGTGATGATTATACCATATGACGAGAAATTACTGAGAGAGAAAAATAAGTTCATGGGACTTCATAAAATACCATATCATGCCTTATTAATAGATATATATGTAAGATAGGTCTTTGTTCATTCTGAACTACATGTATAATGGTTGAATTCTCTCAGTATGTATGCTATTATTCCACTTTTTAACCAAGGTAAAAGTCTTTAAAGGTGTATAAACAGTATGATTATCTGTTCATAAAATCATCTTTGGCCTTAAATTGACAGAACATTTTTTTACGTAATAAATCATTTATAAAAATATGAAACGTCTTTTATCTGTTCAAGTGAAATACATAACTTGCTCTTTAAAAAAAACTCAATTTAAATCGTTATTTTTTCACTGAAAACTACCCAGTTGTTGTCATTTCCCAAGTAGACTTATATTATGTCCAATTTCTTATTAAGAATTAATTCATCAAGATAAAATTGTTTAATTGATTAGTTAATTGAAATACTAGTAAAGGCTGTAGACTGTTATATAAAGATGATTGACACCTTTCCAGATAATATGAGAATTATGCCACTATACTGAACAATGTCTAGGTAAATTTTCTACCATCCCGTCATGATTGAACGCCATGCACACTGAAGTTTTTCACTCCCAATATTTCAGTTGTAATTGTCATGTTATGTTTTATTATAAACTGTTGGCTTTGTATAGATGGCTTGCATACTAAAATGTTTTAATTTTGGAAATAATAATAGGAGAAAAACAAAAATGAATGTATCTTTTGCAAAAAAAAAAAAGAAAAAGAAAATCGAGAAAAAGATACTGTATTAATTTTATTGTAAACATCTGAAAATAGAATTATACTCGTATAAAGAAGTTACAACAACAATGTGTGAAATATGTACACTTACAGCAAATTTATAAACTTTTTGAATTTTTTTTTAATCTGTTAAATTCAATGGATATGTTACTATTTGTAATTGTTCAGTTATAGTCAGTTATAGTCAAATTGACTGAATAAAAAAAAAAGAAAAGTAAGCAAGCCATGTTGCGATAGCCGCCATTTTCTAAATAGTGTGCCGATTTAAGTTTGTTATAAAGGCTAATTCCTAGACCTAAACAACAGTTGAAGTTCATCTATATATCCATGTTTGTTGTACCTTGTTTGTGTTTGTTGTTTTATGATGTTATGAAGTGAAGTGATTGTCTTTTTATTGTTTACATTATCAGCTTATTAGAAAACCGATGGATAAGTAATAATCTGCAAAAAGTGGGTGGGGTAATTGGGAGAAAAGTGCTCATAGATTCAATAGAATCAAAAGTTCTGTGATTTTAAATAATGTATATACATTGCTCTTAATTAAGAAGGTTTTAATTCAATGACTATTTGAAAATCACATCTTCTCCATCAGTGAAACATACATCATTATGCCATTCATGGTGTGACTTGAATCCTTTAAAATAAATATATAAATTTGACTAAGCTAGTGAGTTACCATATATATACAATGCTTTTGTTTTGTTAACTGAGAAAGGCAGTAACATGGAGAAGGCAAACAAAATGAATGGAGTATTGATATAAAGAAAAGCTTCAATAGGATTTAATTTTATTAAAAGTTAGTGTAATCGAGCATTTTGTGTAGAATTAAATAAGCATTATTTGTTTTCATTGAAGCATGTTTTGTCTTGTGTGGTGAAATATTTGTTTGTGTAAAATCTGTTTCCTTACATTTTAAAAGATACATATAATAATAATAGAGTGTAAAATCTATTCCATAGATATTTCAAACAAAATTTCAAACAAAATATGATAATATTAAAATCATTGATTAAAAAACCTGCCCCCATAAATATGTATACTGGTAGTAATGTTCACCTCGAATATTAAGACATTACATATTATATAGTTATATAGTAATTTCCCTTGGTTGAATTACTTTCAGTCTTGGATAGGGATAGTGATACTGAACATTGATTGGGTAATACTTGAGTGACTAGTGTTACTATGACAACTGTGTTTCCATGGCAACAAGATTTAAACATCTCATTTTCTTATGTTTTTACATAGCTACAATGTATTCTTATTGAAGAAAACTTAAAAGATTGACTTGAACAATGTATCTTTGAATAAAATAAATATATGATAATTGAAAAATGTCTTGTTGCCATGGTAACCAAAAATGATCTATTTTTATTCTGCCATCTGTCGTTGCTAAGGTTATGTTGCACAAAATTCACTAGTTCATGCTACATTATAGACTTTTAGTTTCACAGAGTTTTGTTTTTTGTTGTACATATTTATAGTAGGTTCACAATCATTTATAGCATTTTTCAGTTGTAGATGTATTGAAAACATATTCACTTATAAAGCAATGATGCTTTACAAAGCAAAAGTGCTTTGTGAAGCAATGGTTCTTTGTGAAACATTGGTGTTTTGTGCTAAACAATAGAGAGAAAGTTTCTTTCAAAAATCATATGTATCAAGTTTAGTTTATTGCTGTTGTTATTTTTTGTAAGAAGGAAAACTGAGATTTAAATTGTGTGACTGAAGTTATTGCTTTATAAGTGAATTGTTTTCTGGTTTGTAGACATTCTGATTTATAATGTATCCTTCTACTAGCTTATATGTTGTAAAAAGAATGACTTGTTTAGTATTTTATTTTGTTCATACAGACCTGGTTCTCCCAGACAGATGAATATATTCACATAATACAGACCTGTTATAACACAATGTAATATGAACACACTGAATGTATTAATTTGTCACACACATTAATTTTGTTACTATCATTTGCAGAGTTCAGAGTATGGGTGATACGAAATGTGTTAAATTTTAACTATAAAAATGATTTCTATGGTGATAGGACTAATGCTTATAGGTTGATATTTTCACACTGTGTGTTGCCAAGCTTTAGTTACCAACACAATTCTTTTGCACATAAATTTATTGTTCTATCCATTGATTTGTGAAGATTAGGTCCTGACTTGGAATCTCCAGTCTCTGTGCAGTAAGATTAAAATCTCACCATGGATATAGACTTAATGCTAGCAAGGAGTTACTTAGTTTATCTTTTATAGATGATTGTGGTTCTATCACTGTCCTTCCCTGTGCCTGAAATTGTATATACTGGGAAGTTACTGGAATTTTCCTTGCTTTGATACCTTTCCTGTTTATCATTTGGTACAAACACTTTCAGTCAATAATGGTTATGCCATTGACATTGTCAGTTTAGCAGCATTTTACTTTTTACCAGAATAAAACGAGTTATGGAAAAGAACTTATGACTGACTTTCCAATAACAATAACAATAATATTCCTGCAATCACTTTAATTAAGCCAAGGTTCTAGTTTGACCCCTATACTTTAATTAAGCCAAGGTTCTGGTTTTTCCCCTATACTTTAATTAAGCCAAGGTTCTGGTTTGACCCCTATACTTTAATAAAGCCAAGGTTCTGTTTTTCCCCTATACTTTAAATGAAACCAAGGTTCTGGTTTGGCCCCTATACTTTAATAAAGCCAAGGTTCTGTTTTTTCCCTATACTTTCATGAAGCCAAGGTTCTGGTTTGGCCCCTTTACTTTAATAAAGCCAAGGTTCTGTTTTTTCCCTATACTTTCATGAAGCCAAGGTTCTGGTTTGGCCCCTTTACTTTTGATGTCTTTAAATGAAGTGTCTCAATCATTTTATTAATAGGAGTTTCTTGAAAACATGTATCAGGTAAGATATATATATAATCAGCAAACACAATATAATTTTTAATCAGTCACATCCCTGATAGAATAAATGTAACTTCAAAGAATAAAATATTCTGCCCCATCACAACTATATTCAGTTCAGAGAAGTTCAACCACTTCTGAAAGATTAGAGAACTGTTATCTCTCACCATCCCATATTCTAGAGTCTATATCAAGGTTGGGTTGGATTCTCAATGGGAAAAGGTTTTCTTTCCTTACAAATGCTCAAAGATTATAGTGTAAAAAAGACTAACAGCAACAGAGCTTATTTTTGCTTTTAAAAATGTTTTTCTTCATTGTGGCTTTTCAGTGAGGCGTGAGTTCTTTTCGATAGACAGATACGTAACAACATAGATTGTTAATCTAGGTATAATATTGCTCAACACTGATGCAATAGTGCTAAAGTTTTTGGTGCTTTCTTTTTTTGGCTTGTGTTGTTTTTGTTATGCTGTTTTAGGGCCACTTTTTGAATTTATTCATGCATTTTACAGGGACTTCACCCGAGGCAGAAGTTTAAAGTGAAGTTCATGACTGCCTTTGGCATGACTTAAGTTAAGCTTTTTATTAAAAATTAAAAGTAGCAATACACAAAGTCATTTTTCAAAATTTGCTTGACAAACTGTTTTCTGAAACATCATATTTTTATGTTTTACTTAATTTATATTTGAATGAAAAACATCAAATACAGTTATACTTGTTCTTTTCAATTGTTTATATTTGCAAGATAGTTTGAAAGGTTATATACATTAATGCACAGATTTTGATGCAATGCAAATCAAATGTTATGAATGCTAATTTATACTTAAAAATAATTTAATGAATGAGATATTAACAATTTATCACCAGTCATATAAACTTAAATCTTATATCAGTACATTAATTCATAGTCACATTATGAATGAACTGTTTAATTTTGCGTTGATTGTTTGTTTCAGACAGTTTATAATTTTCTTTTTAAAATTTGGTTCATAATATGAGCCGCGCCATGACAAAACCAACATAATGCGTTTGCAACCAGCATGGATCCAGACCAGCCTGGGCATCCACGCAATCTGATCAGGATCTATGCTGTTCGCTGCTAGATTCTCTACTTGTAATAGAGGTTGGTAAGCGAACAGCATGGATCCTGATCAGATTGCGCGGATGCGCAGGCTGGTCTGGATCCATGCTGGTCGCAAATGCACTATGTTGGTTTTATCATGGTGCGGCTCATATTATTGTTATCCTTTGTTATTGATATTTTACCCATAACCTTTTGAAAATCCATCTCCCAGATTTATATTAATCAATTATTAACAGTTTTTTTCTGAACAATGTATCAAATGAAGTGATTCAGTAAGCAAATTTTTAACAAAAAGTCTTAACGTAGTCTGTATTAATGTTTCTTGTAAAAATAAATGTTAAAAGTATTATAATTCAAGTAGTAAAAATGAACTGTAAATTTTAATGTAAAATGCTTTTTTTATTTGCTTAATGTGATGGGATATAACATAATGTATAGTCACATGCCCTGTGGTTTATGGTGTTAAATTAATACTGCCAATTGCAACATTTACTTTTTAAATAAATATTTTAATATGATCTTTGATAAGTTATAAAGTCCAGCAAAATTCAAATTTAAATAGTAAACTTTGCAAGAAGCAGTGAATTGATTTTAATAATTCAACAAATGTGTGCCATGATGTTAAATGTTTTGTATTTTTGTACAATTTCAGTGAGACGAACATTAAAGAATGGTCTAACACAAGAAGAGATGAGTGCCATTTCAAGCCAGAAATTCTAAAACCATTGTTGACAATGTTCATGTCACCCTGATCTATTTTACAAGGTCATTTCATGTCTGTAATGCTCACAGCAACTGATGGGCTACAACCAAGCTACACTTGGACAGTGTGAGAATAGCTACATTGTGAGGACTACAAGACATTGACTGATTTAGTGGTTTGAATTGGATCAGAGACTTTGGTTACCCAAGTTTTTGTAGTTTTGTTCAACATGGCAATAAGTTATAAGCAACAGCTATATAATTCATAAAACCTTAACTGTTTTGTACCATACCATTGAATTGTCATGGCATTTTGGACTAAGCTTAGCAAATTTTGGTTTTGGATGAAATATTTATGTGCCATTTACTGTAGAATACTTGTATTTATAAATTTTACATTTCATCATTGATAGGCCTTATGTTATGACAACCTTGCTCATTAGAGTGTGAACTGCTTACATTATCTGTGTTATTTTCATTGTTATATGAATTAGTGTAATTTTGTAATACGCGTAATCCAAATGCTACGAATAGATATCTCACTGTGTAGCGTCAGTTTAGTTTCGTAGTAAAATAAATGGTTATTCATGTACGTGACCAACATATCATGTCCTTTATACAAGATTTAACCGTCCAGTTTTATAATGACCTATTTCTAGATCGGCCTAATAAAAATTTGCAATGAATTTGTAGAATTTAAATTTTGATCGACCTAATTCAGTGTTAATTATTGTTTTTGTGTTGTATTAGGAAAGTACAAAACAGGTAATAGATAGAAATCCTTACAAGTGCAATACTTTTGATTTCTGAATACTGACAATAGCATTTTTTTCTGTTTAATTAACCAATTAAGTCTGTTTCAATTAATTAACAAACCCTTACATAGGATATTTGCTTGAATACAATTATAATAGGATACCGGTATGGATAATTGCTTAAAGAGAATAAGATATGTTATAGCTTAAACATGGCTTAAATCTTTTTCTGAACGTTTGCTAATATTCAAAATTCAACTGTGACATTCATACCATTTCAAAAACCTTCATTTCATATCAAGAAATGGAGAAATACATATTTTGTAACAATATTTTCTAGAAAAAAAGTTGTTGGGTTAAAAAAAATAATTGTAAAAAAATATATATTTTTGTGATATTTGGTGTACATATTTAAGTTTGAGATAAAGTAGATTTTTAAGATATTTATATATCAGATTCTGTCTCGATGATGTATTTATATTCTGTGGGGATATATATCACAACATGACATAACTTCATATCTATATACATGTACACTGACTATATGACAGCATGGTGTGAATCAAACTATACTATCTTATTATCTATTTATATTTATTTATTGTGAGTATCATCTAGACAAAATGCTTGTATTTTTCACTAGTTTTCAGTTGAGAAACCACCTTGGTGACAGTTGTTTAGTGAAATCATTAATGGTTTAATGTATTATGATTACAAAAATTTATTTAAATTTTTTTTCTCTACTTTTTTTTTCAGTTTGAAATGTTGTTTGTTAATATGATAGAAATTTTTGTATTCTTAAAATGGTGGAAGTTATTTAAGAAAATTTGAAAGATATGAGTATGATAAGAATTTGTTTGATGTTGAAGGTTGTCTGATGTAGGATTTGATTCAGGGAAGGGGTTCCTGGTCTCTATGGTTACATTATGTTGACTTTATTATGTATACATGTATGTTTATGCTTGCCACGTAGATGAACTAGAATTCCAGTGCTTACAAATGTTTTATATTATTATTTATTGTTACCTTTTCTTTCATTTTTATGTTGTTATTTTTTTTCCGTTTGTTTAATTGATACCTTTTTAAGGTATGCAATAAACTCATTTTTATATTTCATTTGTTGTAATGGGTTATTTGTACCGGAATTAAATTCTGTTCTTTTTTGTCCTATAAGTTATGCCATTTTTGAGATGTAAAAGACACTATGTAGCAGGATGAAATAAGTATTATATTATAATAAACAGTGTTTTGCAATAATCTGTAGTTTTGAATAAATCTGTTCTTGATTAAAAAAGAGAATCCATTATTCACATATGGGCAGTTTTGATAACTTTTTGAGACTCATTCTTGACCTTATAACCTTGAACTTGTAACCTTGACCTTTGACCTTGATCTTTGGTTGAAATCATCAGTATAATGTGTATACCTAGTCAAATATCAGTGTGTATTGTTCAGCATTCAGACTTTACACATTTTATATGTCATGTTACTGTGTTTGTGTAATCCTAATATAAAACGGCATATTAGGTTTTTACTGTGTACTGTGTCTCATCATGTACTTTGCATGCATTTGTAATCCACTCAGAAAATAAAACGTGTATACTCATAGTTATTGAACATAAGTCATTTGATGATGTCTTAATGTATGTGCATTTCTTATTCTATTTTGTGGTTAGGTATTCATTCATTAATGAATTATATTTCTTAATATTGCTTTGAACAAAATCTTGTTTAATCGGCATTTAAAAATACCACAGTGTTTTATAAAAGTGTGAATATATTTATTCTAGTTTAGAATTCAATACCGATTTCAATGCTAGGTAACAAGGAGAGGTTCCAAGTATAAAATAAACTAGTTCATCTTTTGATGTTCATGCAGTAATTTTTCTCACTTTTGAAACATTTGAGGTATATATTGTATTACAGGAAAACTACATGTTTTAAATCTAAGTCTCAAATTGTTAAAATTAAACTTTTTTGTAAGGATAGCCTTCTGTAATATTATCAAGGCCAGGTAGATAATTTGTTATCCATGACACCAGATTACTAGCATATTTTATTCACATTGACTTCAATATATAACTATATATATCATGATTTTTTTTTTACCTACTTTTCTCAGAATTCTCTAGATTTCTTTTAACTTATTTCATTTGTATTTTAAACTTATAGAAACTTAAATATGTATTATATGATTAACTGACGGTGAAGTTTAATTTTCTTTTCTTATTTTTATTACTTGTGTATAGAGATTTGTCAAGTCTTTCAATGTGTTGTTTTAGTATCAGGCTTTAGTGATCATTGTAAAAAAATGATCACTGAACAGCAAACAGTTATGATCACAAATGAATAGTGATCACTGATCAGTAATGATTACAAAAGAAAATGATCACTGTATGGTAATGATCACACAATGAATAGTGATCACTGATCAGTATTTGTTACAAAAGAATAGTGATCACAGAATGGTAATGATCACACAATGAATAGTGATCACTTATTGTATAGTGATCACTGTCACACATAAATGATAGTAATAAATATTCAGGGATAACTAGCAGAAGCAATTATTAAGTTTCTATTCACAAAAAAATAGTGATCATGATCAGCTGCAACCAGTAAATGATCACTGATCACTATACAAGTGATCATATACTGGATAGCTATAGTGTAATTAATACAGGACAGCCTGATAATTCATGCTTCCATTTGCCTTATTTTTTGTTTCTAGATCGAGTCTAGATGTAGTTGACTATATGTGAGAGAATTTCACAAAAATAACATTAATGGATGTGTTGCTGGTTTAAAAATATATAAATAAAAAACATCTTTTATAAAAAAAACAACACTATTTACAATACCAAAGTAAAAAAACATGCACTGCTGTCAGGCCACTGGCTATGAAGAGATGATTCCAACATGAACTAACGCACTTGTGCCTTTGTTTATTATTGGTGAGGATTTATCAAACAGGAGCGGTTTGTTATTGGGAAGGATTTTATTTGAACATTTATCATAAAGCAATAGATTTGATTTTGGACAAAAAGCTGTGTTATTTGTGTGGAAATCTGTCACAGATTGTCTGTAGATGTGATATAAAGATGTAGATGTAATCAATTTTGTTGTTTATTTAAATGTGTCCACCTGCCATACAAATGTATGCATCGTTTTTGATATGATTTCAATTAAAGATTTATTTCATGTAATCTTTGGTGTTTGTTTTATTTATGACAAAATATGTAAACAGTACTTTACCTCAGTCAAGTCATCTATAAATGCCTTTGTGAAATATCTCAGGATTGTTCCCGGTTTTAAAACAGACTCAACTATGCCCTATAAAGGAGTTTTGCAGATTTTTTATTTTTTAGCTCAACTATCACACAATGACATGTTGAGCTTTTGTGATTGCTTTTCCTCCAGCGGCCATTTGTATACTTTTTTCTGTAAACAACACCTCATAAACTGCTAAGTCAATTTCATCCTATTTACGCAGGAATGTTCCTTTGGTGGTTACCTCTGGTTCCAAAAAAAACTTGAAATATCTTCTAATAGCTAGAGCTTAGATATTAGGCATGAAACATCTTTAAGTGAGTGTCTACCAAGTTTGTTCAAATAAAAGCCCTGGTGTCAAAATTGGCTGCACCCCAGGGGTCATTGATTTTCCTTATATTTATGTAGTAGAAACTTAAAAAATCTTTTACAAAAACACAAAGAGCTGTTTAATGCATGCTGTTTGGTACCTTAAGAATTATTATATATTCCTTAAAATAGTTTGTCCGTCTGTTCGAGCGAGGGGTAGTGTTCAAGCATAAAGAAACATCATACATGTATATTATAAACGTTCTGGAAAAGTTGTTTGGCGCTGACAGGAAATGATTCAGGCCCGTCGTCACGATTTTGTGATTGGTGCGGCCAACTTTGTTGGTTTGAGCCAGAATCTAGGGGGGTACGGGGGCATGCTCCCCCGGAAAATTTTTTATTCTAGGATGCTCTCAGGGGCGTTTTCCCGTATATTTGGCACAGTTTACAGCCTGCGCTAGTACATGTTATAGTAATATATGTCAACGATTTTTTACACTTTTAAGTGCGCCGTAAGTTTTAAGGGTGAAATTTAAGGTTCGCATAACGGACGGACAGGTGTACATAAAAATGAATACAGTACATGTTATTGATATTTGGCAAATGAAAAATAAACAATAACTGATGTTATAATTCTTTAGATGCATTTTTATCTGATAATTATAAATAAACAAATACAAGAAATATTACAGCTACGTGGATTATTGTTTAACATAAATCACACAATGGTATAGGCTTAAATATCAATTGATGACATGATGGAAGAATAGTACATTACGAGTCACTAATAACCACTTTCTGTTTAGCAGTAACTTGTATTTTGTTCACAATAATCTTACACAACACAGAGTTTCATTTTATGTAAATTTTCCAAAAACACATCGCCATCGTTCTCTGGTGGTAATGAACTCATCGGCAATAACACGTTAGTTAAGTGAATCTGTCCTGTACTTATGAATATGTAACACCATTAGATTGTTCAAACGTACTTGAGACATTGTCGATCTCAGGTATGTCTTTCTTCTTCTGAGCGCCAAGAATGGCCTTTCACTTGTAGCATTAGTAGCAGGCATTTCTAACAAAATCTTAAACAACACAACGACCTCAGAGAACAGTGCTCGTTTTAGCACTGACTGTTCTGACACAAATTTCAAAACGTCAGGTAGAGTAACAGTACTATTTTCTGATTTGTCAAAATGTGAACGTAGCAGGTAAGGCCTTAGCTGCACCTCTAAGATGTCTCGGTTAATGTCGTTACCATAGGAATTTCAAACAAAACCAAGTTCTCTAGTGTACTCGGTCTTCAAAGGTTGTGCGACCTTAGTACGTAAATCCTCCACGTTCTGAAATACGGGATATCCCGGTTGGTCAAATTACAGACATACATGAGTAGTGACCTTTTCAAGATACTTTAGTTTGACCAGGAACATTGTCAGTGAACAGCAATGACATTATTTTGTATAGGAAGGCCACCGACCCATTATATACATATACAATACAATACCAGTAATATACTATGTTGTGGAGCATTGTACCTTGAACCGTCTTGGTTGTAAAAACTTTTACGCAGCGTAAAACATTTGACTGTTGACTATTGAACAATTATATTTTCCTATTTGTATAGACATTTAGCAAACAGCACATACAACGTATTATGTGACATTAGCTATAGATCCCTTGGCAGTACAAAAAGCATGAAATTGGTTAATCTGCTGCTCGTCTATCGATCATCACTGGGGAAATCCCAATGTGTCTACCAAGTTCGATACCAAGTTTATGATCCGGACATTTCAATCTAGAAAAACAAACTGTTGCGTAGATAAAATGGAACGTTCAATTTCAATAAGAACGCTACATCTAACAAGGGTTTGAACTCCTTATAATGTTCACAGCTAACATAGTTATAAAGTAATTATGCCAGTCCTGTTTCTGGCAATCAGATGCCGGCTTTTTAAATTTAGTAATGAATTTAATGATGCCACCTACATCCTAAGACAATCATACATACCCAAAACAAAAATTTAAATAAAAATGCTTTCAAGTCTTTGATGCCCATGTTCGTCTTCCTACCTAATTAAGTATTTGAGCATCAGATAACAGTTTATAGTAGCAGTTTACAACAATATTCTACAAATCTAGTAACATAATCGACATTAATGGTAAACGACCACATCCGCCTAACGCAATGTTTAACCACTGCATGGTGGAATTTCAAAATAAACAAGAATATTTGAACTTCTGTTGATCAAGATGTGCACTGGAACCCCATATGTGAAGGCGAAAGTAAGTCATTCACGAGGTAAGTTTTCAACCTTTTCAACATTATTTAATGGTTTCAAAGCTTTTTGAAGAAAATAAAAAATGTACCTCTCCCGACTTTTCTCTATATTTACCTTTTTTTTATTTATTTTTTGATTGTTTTGAATCTCCTTTTGATTGTTTTGAATCTCCATAGTGTTTGCAGGAATATTTATCTCCGGCGTGGGACCTGATGTGTTCAAAACATGCAATGCCTACGCGAAACAGAAACATTTCACGAAATCTGACCGCAGAACGATGGTATCTAAATTTAAATATTAAAACTACTCGCAATTGATTTGTATTGTAGAAGAAGTCCTCTTGTCCGCGGAAACGTCTGAGATGAACCAGCAAGAAACAATAGTCATAACTAATATCTTGTTGATGAATGTCACCACACATCAAGCCACACCAAATTGATTTCTTGTTCCACGGATTTTTTTACAGAAAAAATAGCGACGAGCGAGCGATTTTTTTTCTATATTCACGATTTTGATGATTGGAGCGAGGAAGATTTTTTTCCTTCACAAATTTTGGTCATTGGGACAAAAATCAGGGTCATAATGACGCTAAATGTAAAATTATTGTCCAATCAATAACTTGTTTATATGGCACTTTGAAGGCAAGGTGAAGTAGGGGCATCCTTGTCCTATAGAAAATTTGTAGTTAAATAGGAAAATTCATATAAATAGTGTAATCTGACTGGTTAATTTTCTCGTGCGCACGACTTAATTATCCCGTTCCCACGACTTAGTAACTAGGGGCCACGACATAGTATCTCGTGCGCACCACTTAATTATCTCGTGGCCACGACTAAGTAACTCGTGACCACGACATAGCATCTGGTGGCCATGACATAGTATCTCGTGCGCACGGCTTAATTATCTAGTGGAAACGACTTAGTAACTCGTGGACACGAAATAGTATATCATAGCACGAGATAAGTAAAATCACACGCAAATGTCACCTCTTAGCTATCATATTGTACTGTCCGTACAGCTGAACTGTGAACTTTCAGCAGTCATATTGGCAAATAAGGAGCCATATGTTAATGAATTATATATCAGACCGCCTCCTCCTAACAACAGTATCCTTATAGGGATATCATTATATATAGGTGATGCAACATTCTACACAACCTTGTTAATATTACGTTATATCGCCCACGTTAATTGGTTTGCCATGCATTATGAGTATTGGTTTTTGTGTTTCATGCCGGTTTTTGGGGAGGCTATGCCGACCCAATGTTAATAACCGTCTGTCAAATCTTACTGCCGCGGTAATCAGGTCAAAAAATAGTACCTTGATATTTCTAAGCTGACTCATCACTCATCACAGACATTTACAATATGAAAATATTTTCATTCTTTAATTTCATATCTGCAATTTGTAAAGATAACAATTCTCTGAAAAATTCTTGATTTTTGTTTAAATCACTACTCCGTGACGTCATTACTGCGCGGTAATCAAGGTCAAAAAATAGTACCTTGATTTTTTCTAAGCTGACTCATCACTCATACACAGACATTTACAATATGAAAAATATTTTCATTCTTTAATTTCATATCTGCAATTTGTAAAGATAATAATTCTCTGAAAAATTCTTGATTTTTTGTTTAAATCACTACTCCGTGACGTCATACTGCCGCGGTAATCAGGTTTAGGCATACGTACGTCTGTAATAAATAGTTCTGGTATGAAAACCCTTCAAAATAATAACTTTATCAAATATTTTTTTAACAAAAAGCATAAATGAAAATTTATAAGTAAATGCTTTAATTCAGTGGCAAATATTCTCTTTATTATTTTTGATAACAATTTTCCAATTACTACGCAGCGACCAATGTTTTATGACGGGTCATTTAAATTTGAAAGTTGCCCCAAAAATTTTTCTTTCCAAAATCCCTGCAAATTTTTTTTTGTTGTTAAAATATTAATTTTCCTAAAATATTTTTTAAAAAAACAAAAAATTGTAAACTGTCGCTTTTCAATCAGAGACAAAAGGATTTTAAAGCCTTTTGGGATAAACTAAGGGAAAAATAATTTTTTTTTGTAACCCCAGGAGGGTGTAACCCCGGAAAACGGCCCCAAAAAACCGGGTTTAAATCATAACTGTTTAAATAAAAATTTTGCCTACAATTTTTAAATAAAAATTTAATATGGGGAGAACATATATTTGAAAAAAAATTATATTCTTTAACCATTATCGCCCAAAAAACATTTAACTACAAAACCCCTAAGGGGCCTCCGGGCAAAATTTCCGCAAAAATATTAACATTTTTTTAAATTTGCAATAAAAAAAAAAGCAAAAACTTATATTTTTTATATTTTCATTTAAATTTATTTTCAAATTTTAACAAAAAAAGTATCTTTGGGAATTGACAGAAACCCTACTCTGAACTTTTTTTTGGATTTTGGAAAAAATTTAAAACATGTTCCTTTTTTTTAGGAAAATTTTTTAATTGGGAAAACTTTTTATATTCACTAATCCCCAAATCAAATTAAAAAGGGCCCTTTTTAAATTTTTAAAAAACATTGTTTAGTTAACTATCTCATTTTTAAACCAATAGAAACATTTTAAAATTTTTTGGTAAAAAAAATTTTAAAACCAAAAGTAAACCCAGGGAAATCGTTTTCCTTTTGGTGGTGCCCCTTAAACTGATTATAAGGCGAAATTTATTAAAAAAACAAAAAATAGAAAAATGTGTTTCCTACAAGCAAAACGGAATAAAAGTGAACAGTTAATTTAAAAGAAATATTGGGCAAATGTTTTAAAAAAGGAAAAATTAAATTTCAGAGAAAACCCCAAAAGAATTTAGTAAACCCCCTAGGGTAATTAAAAGTTTAAATTAATTCCCAGGCATACTCAAAATTTTATATTCCCCTTTTAATAAAAATTTAAAAATTTTTAATACAGATTATGAATACATAAAAAAAATTAAAAAATAAGAAACTTTAATTTAAAAAAAAAAAAAAAAAAAAAAAAAAAAAAAAAAAAAAACCCGCAAACCCTATACAAATTTTTACATGCGAGCTCGGGGAAACATTAAAAATTCTTACCAAAATTTAAAATTTAAAAAAAAAATTTTCGGGCCTTTAAATGATTAATTTTTTTTAAAAAAAAAAAAGGGAAATTTTTGGTTGGGGTTTCTAAAATAATGGGGGGCATAAAAGGAATTTCTTTAAATTTATTTTAAAAACCCCTTGAAAAAATTACTAACCCAAAAAAATTTTGTTTTTTTGGGTTTTTAAACAAAAGTGTGTGTGTTTTAAGTTTAAAATTTTTAAAATCGGCGCCCCGGAAATAACCCCTATGCCAGATTAAAAGCACGGGGCGTCCTTTTTAAAGCAGAATTTTTCCCGGAACCCCTTCTTTGTTCTTTGGGGAAAAGGGAACCCACTATACCGGGCCAAAGGGATCAAAATTTTCTGAAAGACAAAAACAAAAAAGGGCAATCTATTAGCCGGGAAAAACCCCCAGAGTTTAAATCCCCACATCCCAAAACCCAAAACCAAACCTTTCCCTTCCTTTTCCCCCCGACCCTGCACGGCCCCTGGAGGTATTTGGGGGAAGTTTCCAAAAAAAAACTTAAAAAACCGCCCCTTTTTTAACACCAATTTATAGCCCCTGACGGCTTCGGATTTCTTTATCCTTTTTTGCGGGAAAAAGGTCGACCCGGGGAAAACCCTAAAAGTAAAAAGCCCCAACCCCCGTTACAAAGGGAAATTTTTCCCATAAATTTCAAGCTAGTGAGGTTTTAAAATACACGTAAAAAATCCCATCATTTTAAAACCCTAAATTTTGAGTGTTGGGGGTAAAAAAAAGAAATATAAATTAACTTCCTGAAAAATTTTTCACTTAGGTTATTCAGTTCGAAAAAAGCTTTTTAAATGTATTTTTTCAAAAATATTTAAAACTTTAATTTTCTCCCACGGGCCTCATAATGAAAGGGAAATTTTTGAAAAAGGGGGATTTTTTTCGAATTTTCTTTCCCGGGAAAGCAACCCCGCCCAACATAAATATTAAACCATTTTTCAAAAACAGATTTAAATTTTAAACTCAATTAAAGGTACATCTAAACTTAATTTAAAATTTTTTTGTTCAATAAAAATTTTTCAATCAAATTTCAGTTGTTTTTTTAATCCCTTTTAATTTAAAATTTTAAAAAGAAATAAAGTATTTTTGAAAAACAGTCCTAGAAAATTATTTTTATAAGGAACCTCATTTAAAAATTTTTTTTGTTATCTAAAAATGAAAAAAAAAGGTCATAACTTGCTGGTTTTTCATTTTTTATTGACATTTTGGGGTTTTTTAAAATTTTCCAAAAATTAAAAACCGGAATGTAGACCCCCCAATTTAAAATTTTGGAATATTAACAAAAGAAAAAGTAAACCCCAATTTAAACCCAAAAATATAAAAGGTTGGGAAAACAACAGAAAAATAAAAGCGAAAATTCAAACTTTTATTTTTTAGCCCTAAATTTTTAAACAAAAAAAAAAGAAATATAAGTCTGAAACATTCCTCATAAGGGGCCCCCCCATCACAATTTTAAAAGCTTGATTAAAATACTCTTCAATAATTGCATCATCTAAACTCACTGTTGCACGATACATGTTTACTAATGCTTCCTACAAACTTATTGTAGTGGGAAATGCTGTGCTTCTACTTTATTAATTAATTTGGAATATATTTCAGGTTAACTTTGAATTTCTGTTTTTGTTTTTTTGTTTTTTGTTTGTTTTTGTTTTGTTTTTTTAATCATGGACAACTTGAGATCATCCTACGACTTTTAATTTATAGAAACTGGTTATAATGATGTCCTAGATACTTGCCTTGCATAATATGAAAAAGACTATAGACACACCTCCATTTTTAACGCGATGTTCAAAATGAAAAAAAGTAGTACGGATGTTTGCACTGAAATTCGACAAAGTGAAAAATTAATGACATGCTTAAAAATAAAAATAACTCTATATGGACTTCTATATTTACAAATTAATGTAATAGAAATTGAAACTAATATTTGTTCTATTTTTTATCCAAAAATTTTTTTGTGCTTGTTTTTTTTCAAAAACTCTTTAAGGTTCCCGCCCCAAAAAAACATATAATTCTCAAACCCCTATTTGAGCAAAATTTAAATACACGAAAAAACTTAGAAATTTTAAAAACCCTTTCCAAAATTTTTGGGAATAAAGGGAAAACCCATCGGACAGGAACCAAGAAAGGGGAATCAAAAACCGTCGGCCCCCCTATTTTTTTTTTCCCACAAAGTTTTAAAAAAACGTGGACCCCCAACCCGCCCTAAATCAAAGAATTTTTTGGGGCCCGTTTTTTTCCCCCTTTTAAACCAATTACGACACAGGGTGGGATATCATGTTTTGGGGCCCCCCCCAACCCACCCCAACCCCTTTAATACCATGAAAAATAATTCAACACTTTACCCTAAGAAAACAAAATCATAACCACCGATAAAAATTAAAAAAAAAAATTTCCCCTGTAACTATATAGTTTTGATACAGTAGTGGAAATTTTTTTAGTTTTTATAATATATTTTATCGGGGATCTTGAACAGTAAATCTAAGAGTGTTTGATTATTTTGTTTATTTGGTATGTTAGTATGGGTCCAGTGGCCAAAACACTGACAGTGTTGTAAATTTTTTTGAAATTATTCCAAAACATGTTCCTTTAATATTTACAGTATAGTGGAACCCCATTGTATCGTGCTATTCATTGTATCGATCTATTTACAAATCTTTAGATTTTTTGCAAAATATGTAACCTAATGATTGTTAACATTTACGACAGTGTCACGAAAATCTTTCACATTTATTTGTGTGCAGTAAAATGAACAAAAACATGTTTCCAGTACCGTAAGACGTTGTAGATAATAAATAGATTTATAAATATTGTGTTCTTATTAAAAGTACATTTACTGTCTGTTAAAAGTTCCTAAATTTATGCTGACATTTTAAAACAGACATCTATGTTTCTAATTGACTGAAATATCTAACATAAAGATGGTTAAGGCTTCCCAAACTTTGGCTAACTTAGCGATTCTCACAATGCATCGTTATAATGGCGTGACCTAATTCTTCAACCTGTTTGACATGTCTGTAAATATCCGTATATTCCAAAGCTAAAAACTATATATCAGTGATGTTTGCCATGTAAATATTATGGCAAAAGGATAAAAATAAATGATACAAAATAAATATTCAGGGAGATTTGAATTTTTAAAAGCAGTTGTGATTTATGGGTAAATAGATCGATACAACAGGGTTCCAGGCTAACCCTTTTTACTGTACAGTATTATAAATTATATACATAAATTTGTAAAATTATCATGGAAATTTCTTAGATAAAAAGTGATGTTAATGTACATATCAAAGTTTATTTTTTTAGATTTGTTTGTTAACCTGCATTTATTAGTAGGGTCTATGACTGAACAATATTAACTTTTTTGCAGAGTTTTGGTCATATTCTGATTCATATAGTGACTTACTTTATCTCCCAGTTGTAAGTTACGTTTTGTTCATGTTACAGGGTTATGAATATTCAAGAAGTGGAAATCCAACTAGACAATGTCTGGAGGAATGTCTTGCTGCACTCGAAGATGCCAAATATGGTATGTGGTAATAGATTAATTAAATAGTAAAACCTTTTGTCAAAATTGCCATTAAAAGATTTTTTTAAAGAACTATTCAACTGTACATATATGATAATTGTCTCCTGTTTCTCTTTAAATTGCTCTGTATACTCTCCATATTTTTGTATCACATTGGACTCCTCATAATTGTTCTTCCAACCCTTGACTTATAGTATGAACAAATTTAATACATGCCAATTAACCCAATTGTACATTGTAAATTAAAAAAAATGAATTAAAAAAGCATCAACCAACCATATTTTGTTTAAAAACACAAATGCAAGAGATCCTACTATAATTAATATGATAGAAATAAAATGATAATTAAGACTCATATTAGATGATCGGTATTAGAATTATTTGATATTATTAATTAAGTGACAGTTGACTGACAATACTTCTGAAAGTGTAATATACATGAACTGTATGATAACATATGGTAAATTGAGTTCATTTAAATGTCACTATGTGAGCTGAAAATATGACAGTGTGACCTTCAAAATGGTGATAAGGTTAAACTAGCACTGGATACATGCATATTTATGTATTTATTTATGCAATATTATTTTTATCAGTAAATTCAAGGGTGGCTTTTATAAACGTTAAACCCTTCGCTTCGTAAACTATCCGATTTCCGTAATTTTATTTAATACATTTTCCTCATTAAATTAAAGAATTTCAAACCAAGTTAATGGGAAAGTTCCTTTGGTGTCCCTTTACTAATTGTTTAAAAATTAATTTGACTCTTTTTAAAGCAACGTAAAAAAAACTTTAATCTTCTTTTAAAAACATAAGAGCTAACGATGTATATTTGCATAAACATCTCCTAGTGATTTACCAATTTTTCAAATAAAGTCGGGTCAAAATTCCCTCCCTTATTTCCTATATTATGCAATTATTTGAGCTAAGATATTTTGACCATTTTTAAAGCCCTGGGGTCAAAACTGGCCCGGCCCCAGGGGTGTCATTGTTGGGGGGGGCCTATATACAGGTGAGCGACCTCAGGGCCATCATGGCCCTCTTGTTCAAATTTTAACTTCAATTTTTTTTAATAAACAGGTAAACCATTCTTCTAAAAAACTATCAAAGATATTCTCCTTAATGTTGATATACTTTTGCACTCTTAAATTTGAGAAGAATTTCTAAAAGCCAGGTAATTCTGAAAGTTATTTTTGCTCCCTTTCCTAATTTTCTCAAAAATCATTTGCTCTTTTTATGCATAGGTAAACATCCAGACATGTTATCTTAACCTTTTACCACATACAGCATTATACATGTACTGCACTTTAATCTATAACACAGCGGCCAGATAGATAATCAATAATCAATATCCTTCTGATAAGGGGTTGCACATTATCTCCATATAGGGTATGATAAGACTGATGTAAAATTGACTAAAGTTGATACCTATATGTTTTAAATGAAAATAATGTATTAAGTTGTGTTTTGACCATTTTTTTGTAGAGAATTGAAATCCGATATAATACCAGTAATTATTTAATTGCTCTGTAACTGTGTTGATTTTGCATGTTTTTGTTTTACTTTCAGGAATGGTGTTTGCATCTGGTCTAGCTACAACTACAGCAATAACATTTCTACTGAAACAAGGAGACCACCTGATCAGCATGGATGATTTATATGGAGGTAATTTTCTCTATTCACTTGATAAATGAACTTTAATTTTACCATGATCTAACAAACATCAATTTGTAATCAATTTCAAGGCACATACATGATTATACTTTACTCATTCATTGCAAGCTTTAAATTTTGATGATACATTATATCATGGGAATAGATGTTTTAATTAAATGTATTTTGAGATTGTTCAAAATCCTTTTAAATTAGTTTATGAAATTCTGGTGTTTGACTTGATAAAAGATGTTCAATGACATGACATTATAGCAAATAATTTGTCTATAAGTAAGGGTAAAATCCATAAAATTTCACTTCTGAATAAAGTTGATGGCATGAGTAGGTGAGGGGAGTTGTTAAATTATGGATGTCCTCTTACTTTATTACAAAATTTGTCCACATAAGATGTCAAGAGTAGAGTTAACCACTCAGTTGCTTTTAAAACAGGAGTGAAAATTTACAATAATTTCTAAATGTATGACTATAAGTGAAACAAATTAGAATCATAATGTTGTAAAAAAAGTTGCTTTGATAGTAAATGTACAAGTTATTTGCAAGAATATGGAATGCTACTATAATGTGGACCAGTGGTGGTGTTGGTAGTTTTCACTCCGAATCATGGCAGTAAGCCACATTGAATTTACCAGGCTATCAAGCAGTTTACCAGTACTAGTTGCCTTCACTTTCACAAGGAACTAATAACTTCTGAAGGCCTACATGCCAGAGCAGAACTGTACTTCAGAGGTTCAGTGCAAATGACAGTAGAAAGGATTTCATGATCAATGATGACAATCACAACGAAAGTGACCTGCGCCGTCGGGTCGCCCAATTCACAGTCCAATGCTCTACCTATGGAGCTAACCAGATGGCGCATGCTACCGTTACTATCTTTATGTATTTATATGTTAAAGGTACCAACAGGCTCTTCCGCCAGTGTACAACCAGGATGGGTGTAGAAGAATCTCTTGTAGACTGTACCAATGTACAAAATGTTGCTGATGCTATCAAACCAAATACCAGGGTAATCTTATTTCTTTGATTTTTCATCCACTGTAAAACGCTTATATTTTATCCTTGACCTTTAGTTCATATGAGCTTTTAGGATTATGGTATGTATGATCATCAATATTTTATGCTAAATGTTGATATTCAAAGAACTTTTCCTAAGTTACGAGAGATGTTTCCGGAGCCTTAATAAGCTGTAGAAATATTTGAACAAAGAGCATAATAAATTTGTATTGAGTCCAGCTGTTTGTATATTTCATCAAGGTTAGAGATGTGTTTATATATATATCATCAAGGTTATTTATACCATATATTTAAAAATTATGAACATATATGTATTATATAATGTAAATTTTTATGCCCCCACAATGTGGGAGCATATAGCGTTGCACTTGTCCGTCCGTCCGTCCGTCAGTCCGTCCGTACGTCCCGAAATCTTGTGAACGCAACTCCTCTTAAACCGGATGGCAGATTTTGCTTAAACTTACAGGGATGAACAACCTTAATGTGGAGATGGTAGTAAAGGAAGGAATTTTCACTGCGACCAAATTTAACAGAATTATGGCCCTTTGTTGATTTTTTCACTAGATACTATGTAGAAATTTTGTGAACGCAACTCCTCTTAAACCGGATGGCAGATTTTGCTTAAACTTACAGGGATGAACAACCTTAATGTGTAGATGGTAGTAAAGGAAGGAATTTTTGCTGCGACCAAATTTTACAGAATTATGGCCCTTTGTTGATTTTTTCACTATATACTATGTAGAAATTTTGTGAACGCAACTCCTCTTAAACCGGATGGCAGATTTTGCTTAAACTTACAGGGATGAACAACCTTAATGTGTAGATGGTAGTAAAGGAAGGAATTTTTGCTGCTACCAAATTTTACAGAATTATGGCCCTTTGTTGATTTTTTCACTATATACTATGTAGAAATTTTGTGAATGCAACTCCTCTTAAACCGGATGGAAGATTTTGCTTAAACTTACAGGGATGAACAACCTTAATGTGTAGATGGCAGTTAAGGAAGGAATTTTTGCTGCAACCAAATTTAACAGAATTATGGCCCTTTATTGATTTTTTCATTATATACTATGTAGAAATTTTGTGAACACAACTCCTCTTAAACCGGATGGCAGATTTTGCTTAAACTTACAGGGATTAACAACCTTAATGTGTAGATGGTAGTAAAGGAAGGAATTTTTGCTGCGACCAAATTTAACAGAATTATGGCCCTTTGTTGATTTTTGGTTTTTTTCACTATATACTATGTAGAAATTTTGTGAACGCAACTCCTCTTAAACCGGATGGCAGATTTTGCTTAAACTTACAGGGATTAACAACCTTAATGTGTAGATGATAGTTAAGGAAGGAATTTTTGCTGCGACCAAATTTAACAGAATAATGGCCCTTTGTTGATTTTTAGTTTTTAACTTGGGGCACATGTAGTCGAAAAAATATTTTACCTAGAGTCATAAGATTGACAGAACAGTGGCGTGTGGGGGCATCCGTGTCCTATGGACACATTTCTAGTTTTATATATAATGTAAATATTGATTGTTTTATAACAGATGGTATGGATTGAGACTCCCACCAATCCTACAATGCGATTGGTTGATATTGAAGCAGTATGTAAGGTTGTCAAGGAGAAAGCTTCAAAAGAATGTTTTGTTGTTGTTGACAATACCTTCATGTCATCCTACTTTCAGGTAATATGTCAAATAATATGAGCCGCGTCATGATAAAATTAACATAGTGTGTTTGCGACCAGCATGGATCCAGACCAGCCTGTGCATTCGCGCAGTCTGATCAGGATCCATGCTGTTCGCTACCAGTTTCCCTACTTGCTATAGGTTTTGTAAGCGAACAGCATGGATCCTGATCAGACTGTGTGGATGCGGAGCCTGGTCTGGATCCATGCTGGTCGCAAACCCACTATGTTGGTTTTGTCTTGGCGGGGCTCAAATAATATCAATTAGTTCTTCTATCAACTGGTTAAAATAAAAGGAGAAAAAACTTATTCCTTTACTTGATTAATGCATTCTCATTCTATAGGTACTTGTTATATGCTTTCATAGCAGGGACTGTTAAAGAAGAAAAAAAACTTTAAAAAATCATGCAATGAAGGTTTGCAGGGAGTTTCTGTGGCCCTTTGGTTAAGATTACTAACCCTTACTGATCTGGGTTTAAATTTTGCCATGGTCTTAGGATTCTTTCATGTGAGGCACTACTAGGGTGTCTACTTAAGCATTATACAGGTACATTCTAAGGTTTTATTAAAAAAAGCTTGAAAGTTGCCATATTGCTTTTACAGTGTCAGAGAGACCAAAAAAGTGTGCTTGCATTGACCTAGGTGTATTTAACTCTTAATACATTTATACTAAATATCTTATTATAAATGGACTTGTCCATCTTTCAGTCTGGGCTAAACCATTAATCTTTTTAGGGTAAAATTTTAAATAAGAACTGATTGAATAGCAAACAGTGTAGACCATGATCAGATCTTAGTCTGTACTGGTCATGTGGGTGGTATTAGTTGCCACCAGTAGGCTCAAGGTTAAAGTGATATTCATATAGAATTATATTAGTGGTATCAATAAAATCTAGGATTAACCAGTCAGTAAAACCTTTGTGTTATTGCTTATTTACTGACAAACAAAATAAAAAATGGCAGGTAGTGACCCTTTACCAGATATCACTGCATTTTAATAGCATTTTAAACTTTTGTAATAAAAATTTCACCTGATTATTTCAGAGACCACTCATGTATGGTGCAGATATTGTAATGCATTCCTTGACCAAGTACATGAATGGTGAGCAAATCTTTCTTACATATATTTATCTCTTAACTGAAATTAAGTGACATAAGTTTAGCAAGTCATTCCTTCCAAGTTTTATGATATCTTTCCGTATAACCTTGACATACTACCTACTCTGTGATATATTTTAAAGTTCCTGAGTCAAAAGTTAAATGACATTTGCTTTACAATATTATACTTGGATATCTGGACTGTGTAAGGTAATTTTATATCATAACAGGTCATTCTGATGTTGTAATGGGAGCTGCATGTACTAACAGCGATGAGCTGGCTGAGAGACTCAAATTTCTACAGAATGGTGAGCAACATTTTGATGTGAATTGATTTGGAATGCTTTCTGCATTTTGTTTATATTTTTCTGACCACCTTTCAGAAGTTCTAATGAAACAGTGGCATAGTGTTAAATAAGTTAAAATATTAATAGTTTTTTCAAATCAATCAGCAAGAAATGAGTCAATGATACACCAGTGACCACTATTGTTTCAATTAATGATAAATGATTTGAACATAGAGCTCCATGTAACTGTTAATTAATAAGAGTATTGAGAGTTAAACTACCTGTATAATTTATAGTGTACATTTGAGCCATGCCATGAAAAAACCAACATGATGCATGGGCTTGCGACCAGCATGGATCCAGACCAGCCTGCACATCTGTGCAGTCTGATCAGGATCCATGCTGTGTGCTGACAAACTGTATAACTAGTAGAGAAACTGATAGCGAACAGCATGGATCCTGATCAGACTGCGCTGATGCACAGGCTGGTCTGGATCCATGCTGGTCGCAAATTATTTTATTGGTTTTTTCATGGCGCGGCTCATTTAACAATAACTTTATTTCAGCTACTGGACCAGTACCCTCTCCGTTTGACAGTTTCTTGGTGAATCGTGGGTTGAAGACTTTACATGTTCGTATGAGGGAACATATGAAGAATGGACTCGCTGTGGCGCATTTCCTCGAGAAAGACCCACGTGTTGAGTCAGTCATACATCCAGGTATTTATAAGATAGTAAACTAGTGTGCTAGTAGATAAAGGTGGTGTGGTTCAATTTTAATGGCTTAAAGGCTAAATATCTGTTTCACATTACATATATCTATATTATTGTTTTACTAGCAGTACTTAGATCTATCCTGGAAAACTGGTTAGTTGGATTGGTTGCTGAGAAGTGACCAATAATGTGTAAAAATCGGCGTAAAAAACGCAAAAACAAACAAACTAACAATTATCCAAGAAAGTGTTTATGTTTTATAAACTGGCAAATGATCTTACCATTTCTTAACATTCTCTGAATAAAACTGCTTCCATTTATAATGTGAAGTAGTTCCGATGCAATACATTGTAGTCAATAGGTATACCTTTATAATACTGCACATTTGTAGCATCGCTTTTCATTTGATAATCATGACGTTTATATAGTTTTATATACACGGCTGCTGTCGATTTATAAAGTATCTCGCTTTATTCCTCTAAAAATGATGCTATTTGTTATGAATATTTCTAACAGGTTATATGGCCATATATAAACGGTTGTTTTCAATATAACTATCGCCATGCGGCTCATGTTATATTTACAAACAACCGTTTATATAGGGCCATATAACCTGTCAAAAAAAATCATTATAACTAATAATATATGTGCATATCCTTGACTTTAAGGGTATTTATATGTTCTTTAAACTGTATTGGCAAGAAATTTTACAGTTAAACTAGGATTATTTTCAGATGGAGTAGTATGTTTGTTATTTGTAATGAACAAATGTTATCATTTACACTTTTCACTTAAAATTTTTATGATAATCACCTAATTATAAGTGTTGCTAGAAATGACCTGTTTGTGTAAACTTAAGTGGCGGTAACATTTATAAGGGAGGTAACCAAGTAAAATTGTATGTAATTATCTTTTATGTATTACCTTAGTTATCTCCCTTACACCATTATCTTACTTTATTTAGGTCTTCCATCTCATCCCCAGCACGAGTTGGCAAAGCGCCAAATGAGAGGTTACAGCGGGATGGTGTCCTTTTATATCAAAGGAGGTCTAAAAGAGGCAGAAACATTCCTGAAAAGTCTGAAGGTATAGATATGATACTGTGTACCTTATTACAATCAGTTAATGAAGAAACATTCTGTTTATTATGTGAGAAGAAATATTGTTAATACTATGAAAGAAAATATGTTGTTACATATCATAATAAACCATTTCATTTGCATCTGGTTCTTTAACTTAGACATATTTGTCCCTTTAATTTATGTATTACTAAATGTCTGATGGACACTTTCCCATCTCTAGAATTGTAATTGCATTCATTTCAGGTGTTCACATTAGCAGAATCTCTTGGTGGCTTTGAAAGTTTAGCTGAGTTACCGTAAGTCTTAAACTTTTTTTTCAATGCATATGTATGAAGAATTCTTTCTTTTTCTTTGTGGTGTTGAAGTTTCCTATTCAAAAAATAGAGTTTATATTTTAGCTTTCTTGTATTTTTTGCCCACTAAGTTTTTATGTGTAGTAGATAAATCAGGTTTGAAGTCATCATAAATAAATTTTATCATAACACTAATTAACAGATGTCATAGGAATTTGTTGTTTAGGGATACTTACCATTGACAGTTTCATGTGGGTAGATCAAGGTAATTTCACCTTGAATAAAAAATAGATTTTCATTATAGTAAGCTTATGTTTTTGTAATTGTCAAGGTGATGCAGGGAGCATCTATCATTTTCAGTTCATCTATTCCGAAGAAAAAGACGCTGCAACATTATTGTCATTGGCAGCATGCTAAAACTTTAATGTTGCCCTTCATTCAAACATTTTAAAAGTTATCGACATGAAATTTGGAATACTTGCTTCTTGTGGTTAGACAAGGGGCATTATTCTGAAAGCAATACTTTAGGAGTTTGCCCATTTTTGAATTAGAATTTTTAGCAGGCGAGCTTTAACACTGCATGCAATGCTCTGGTTTTGTTTCTGTTTGAATATAGAGCAATAATATTGAATTTCTTAAACATTTTTTGATAGTTACGAAATTTATCATCTACAGATCTGTGATGACCCATGCTTCAGTGCCGGCCCATGAGCGTGAAAAACTGAAAATCACCGACAATCTGATCCGTTTATCTGTCGGTATAGAAGATGAGGAGGATCTTCTACAGGATCTGGACCAAGCTCTTGCGGCTGCTACTAAATAAATCACTTTATCTGGTAAATATATATATGTTAAATTGACACATTAAAGCAGCATTTATTCAGATTCATGCTCACTTATATATGAATTATTAGAAAATGATTGTGAAAACGTTCTGAAATGTACAAATAAAGTGATGTACTTCAATTTCTGAAATGTTTTGACAACTTTTTGACAAAATATGCTATTTTTTCCCCCCTTATTCCATTAGAAGGGTGGTAGAAAGAATGGCGGGAGAATTACAAATGTGGCCACATCTTGCATAGAGCATTTTAAACATTAATCCTAGAACACTGTAGAATATGTTTAAGTTTACTCACCTAAGGACCTAAGCTTGAAAAAGAAATCCTGGAAAAAACAAACTATTAATACAATGTACTTTGTTTTTATATTAAAGTTACACAATATTTGAAGAGTTAATTTGGTATTGATACACAGATGCAGTGGAATGTTTCTTTTTTTGTACTTGTAGTATTTCTTGTCAATTCTCAACTTTTGTGTTGAGTAGTTCGCAAATCAGCTATGAAAGAACATTTACTTAGATATTAAAATTTTGAAGTTTTCTAAGCTTTAATCATCGTTTTTCTTCATCACATAAGCTGTTACACAGTCTGATATGGTTGCTGCGATATAGTACAAGATATTCATAATAATTCATAAACCATTCTCTGATAATGAAGTAATATTGTTGTATGAAGAAGAAAAAAAAAATACTAAGATATTTTGTTAATTTGAAAGTACTAATTGTTCCATATGTTAGATTTGCTATCAATATTTGTGTCACTGATACATTTGAAGTTTTGCTCAATAATTTAATTTGTTTCTTTTTCAGAAAGCATAAAGCTGATCCACACAGTTTTCTCAAAATCAAAGAAAATCTCACATAATTTCACATAAATTATAATCATATGCTGGCAATAATATTCTAGGACCTGTTACAGGAATATTTAAAATTGTGTGTTTAAATTTGTGTATCTTCACAACTGGAAAAATACCATATGGGTGAGCATATACATTAAAACTCTATTCTTACAGTGATTATTGATTTACTGATTTCACCAATGATGCAAATTGTTTTGTGTAAAGATTACAACACAATTGCATATACATGTATTTTGTATTTTTCTGATAATTTGTTAAATTCTATTTATAAATAGTTACTTTTTTCTTTGGGTCGAGTATTTTTTTTTTATGTTTCTCAGGCAAAATGTGCTCAATTTTACATGTACTCACTATTGACCTTATTACTCCTGTAAAGGGAAGTAATATAATAATATTTAGCCAAGATCTGTTAAAACAATTTATTATTGTATAATTATAATCTGATTTCTCCAGTGTCTTTAAGTTTGTATTTTCCTAGTTTTGTTTTAAGTATACTCCTGAAACACCCCATGTATTCCTAGAATATCATTATAGAAAGCTAATAGAAATCAACAAAAGCAACATATACTGACCAGCCCTTCATATTAAAATACCTGTTAACCATACATGCCATATCGTCCCAGACTTCCGGGGACTGTCCCGGAAATCAGGTGACAGTCCCAAAGGCTTCCAAAACATGATTTTTGTCCCGATCTGAAATAGTCTCCTTTGCTGTGAGAAATATAATGTTTTTATGCAATCTTATTGTCAGGTTCATTATTCTGTCTGTAACAATTAACAAATACACATTTAGTACATGTAAAAGCCCCAACCTTTTTAGACCAAAAGAGTAAAGTTTTAGTCACTTGTTAATACTTACTGTTACTTAGTTATTATTAATTAGTAGATCTTGATGTACTTTCCACTAAGCACTAGGTTAACATTCTATATTTATGATATGTACTGATTGAAATAAAGAAAGGTGAACATTTTATTCAAGACAGAATGATGTATATTGATAATGATAATAAATGATTTTCATGATGTATTATCATCTCTGTTAGATGATCTAACTTATCACTGCAATATGTTAAAAATTTTCCCTTTTTTTTCCCTAGTTTCCTTAGAACTTCTCCCAAGTTTCAACATTTTTTTTCCCTGCTGGAGAGTATGGTGATAATATTTATATATGTTGTTTTTTTTGTTATAATCAGCATTTTATAATCAGTATTTGCAGCTTTAAAGTGATAAATTTTATTATATTGTTAGCCTTTATTAACAGCGATGCAATTATGGTATTACATGTAATTAGGAGTAATATTTTCAAATTTTGTTTGTTGTTTTTATTTTAGAAATTTTTGAAAGAAGTAACCAAAATACTGTCAGATTTTGTAATTTTATATATACATTGTTTTAATACATAGTATTAAATTAAGTTACAATTTATATAAATTTATATTCATCATGGTTTATTTGACTAAAGTGTTACAATATTCCGGTAAGCTTAAAAGTGCTATATTTATTCTGTTGTGTAAAAGCTACACACATGTAGATATCGTAAGTAAAGTATTTTACTATTCTAGATTGCTACTTAGTGTAATTGCTATTGTCAGTTATTTTGAAACATTGGTACTGGTAATTTAGGTATATACATTGTATGCTATCTTCAATAATGTTACTTTTTATATGACAAAATGATTACTATTTAATTCACTTTCTTAATTTTCTTTAAATTAATCTTAAATATACAGGTGAGCTGCTTTAATTAATATTTTTGTTTATATATTTGCATTATGTGAAAAGGAAATAGGATCAGAGTTCTATTTTTAATTAGAAGATTCACTGATAATAATATTGATCTGAAATCCAAAATTGTACTCATTTCATATTTTTCCCCAAGAAACAAAGAAAACTGCTATTTTTTCCTATATTAGGAAACACAGACACAAAAATATAATTAAGTTTTGTTGTTATTGTTGTTTTTGTAATTGTATACAATACCATTGACTGGAGAAGAAGTTCTTGTCCCGAAAAATATTGATAACAAATTTTCTTGTCTCACAAGTTACATTCAGATAATGTTGATGACACAAAACATGACTAGTCAATGTAATAATAAACTATCACAGATGCATATTTGTTCTTTGTTTTCTTGTATATCCTTTGTTTTCTTGTATATCTCCTTATACATGTATACAGCAGGATTTATTTGCACCCAGTGTTTATTTCATGAAATCAGTAAAATGTGAGCTGTTAAAATAGAAAGTATTCAGAGTGATTACAGCCCCCACTATTTTAGTAATTTTAGTTTTCATTTGGCCAATGAGAGTATTCTTACTGTTAATTCAAGTGTACCATGTGACTAAAACATTTGTACTGTTACATAGGTAACATTACACATTCACAGTAAAAATCTGAAAAATATAAACCTATAGAAACAGTGTCTCATTGAAGTAGATGTTCTGGGTAATAAAATAAATAACTTATTTAAATACTATTCAACAGTATGTAGTATCATAATTATAATACTGTTCAATAAATAAAACTGTCCAAAAGTTGCTAAGTGGAGAGAATATTAGTCTTTGCAAAATTCGTAGATTTTCTAGCTTTAGCACTTGTGGTAGAAAGAGCTATGTTTATGTATGATTTGGTAGATAAGTTTGTTTAGCACAAGCAGAGTGAGAGAGTTGGGTGTATGTACAATTACATTCTTCAGTGTTCGAGTTTAATTTAGTTAATCCCAAAATTGGCAGCTAACATTTTGTGCTTATGTCTGAATCGAAATCTGATGAAAATTAGAATAGTTTTAAGGAGTATTACAATAATAGGACAATGTTTTAGTTCCACTACATGTACTTTGATAAGAAATATACATGCTTCATAAAATTGTCAATCAAAATGAATTATCTGAAATATATGCTGCAAAGAAAGTGCAGAAATTAACCATTTTGAAATTGAGCCTTTTAACTTAAAAGAGACTGTCATCTCTATTAGAACTTGTTGTCCAGTATGTATTCAAATTTTTGTCCTTTCCTTTAAAAACAAATTATGGCTTTTGGAGTATTTGACCTATAAGAAATAGTAGTGATTTTATTATCACTGTACAAACTGTCCTATATATAGCAAAATTGTTGATGAACATTTTAGAATTATGCAACACATTTTTTCATTCAAGACTATTGTTGGCATGGTTACGAGAATGTAATATTCTTGTTAAACAGCTCCATTTTCTCAAGTACCGAACACTGAGAAAATACATGGCCTTGTTAATAATGTCTCCAATAAGTTATTTCTTACAATAAAGTAATATTCTACAAAATAGAACTGTAAAGGAAAACCAGACTATTGAAAAAAAAAAGACTCAACATTGCAATCTTGTAAATTGACAGGTTTCTGTTACTAAATTTAGACCAGGATAATTATCAGACTGCAACTGTTACAGTCATAATCACTTCTTTAAAAGTATCGTCCATGCCCTAGACATTTTTATAACTGCTCTCTTTCATATCTATCTGGTTAACAATTAAAAATAATAACAAATAGACACATTAAATTTTTTTCCTTTTATTACAATAAAAAATCTTCTCTGATACATTCTGCAAGAAATTTATACAAAAATAGAAACTCATTACTTTATACATTCACCACAATCATGACTCAGTAGCTTACAATTGTTGACTAGACATTCTATTTTTGGAGAACAATTTATATAATAAAGGTACTTCACTATTGCATAACCATAAATCTGACAACTTTAAATCTAGCATTTATTCTGCAGTATCTTGTCGCAGTATCTTGGCTGTTGACTTTGTTCTTCAGGAGAAATCGGTCTTCATTTGACCCTCAAGTAAATTCTAAGTACCCAGGGCCTTTATGTTCCCAGGCTCCATACACCCCTAGCAACTGTTGCCATGCATTCTGATATGATGCTGCAGCCATTTTCAAGTCTCTGTAAGTTTTCAGCTCTTTATTTCTAAAAATGAAATAATAAAGGCCACAAAAATACAACAAGAGTGCCATGATAATCACACAAGTCCATTTTGATAACATACATTACAAATCTTTCTATACTGTACTATACACATGTATAAATACATGTATTAAGAAAAAATAATATTTTGAATAAACAACGTCATTAAGATAATCTGTATGCAGTACAAGGACATTTTATAAAATGAACAGGTAAGATCTAGTGAGTTACAACTTTACACAATTGATATGTTTTAACAAGTATGTCTGAAATTATATCACTTATCATTTAGTTGTAACTTTCTTATAAACAGAAATAATTCACTTCAAAAGAAGTTAATGTTGAAATTAAAATTGCTTGTCCACTATTAAATTCTTGGACTAAGGTTTTTTATGGAAAGAGTGTATGGTGGTAGTAATAAACAAAACTAATGTCTTAACTTATTGAGAGAACATAAACAAATGCATGATAAGGTTTTCTAAATTAGTGATCACAATTTTTCATTGTTTTAACAAAATTAATGACAGGACACAACAATTTTGTGATGACCTATTTATACATGTACACAATTTCACCTTATACATGAATAATAACTCACTCTAATATTTGTTTTTTAAACATTACATAATTTTGTTACTTTGATAACAAATTCATATTACATTTAATTTAAATATAAAAGAACAAAATATACAGCGGCACCAATAAAAAGCATTTTGATATAGGAAATATCAATTAACAAATATATATACAAGCGAATATATATTTTATTATGATAGATATTAAAACAGAACAAATGACAGAGAACTTACTTTAATGTTTCTGGACTTGTTTCCGGACTTATTTCATTCTTCAATGTTACAAACATATCAAACAGACCCTTGCTACTAATCAAGCTCCTGGAATACACAGATTAATAGAAAAAAAGCTCTCAATGTTTCCTTTCTAGAACAGACATGCTAGAAGATACTGCAATAATTGTGATTTATGATTGCTGATTCTATTTCAAGCATAAATGCCGTCTGCTGCAATTCTAACTCCAAGAATAGCTTATACATAGTGTAACAATACATCCCTCATTAAGTTCAGTGTGTCAAGTCTAGAGAATACTAAGTAACAAAAAACTTTATTATCATTTCAAATATTTGTACAAAAATAGTAATTCTATATCTAATGGTTAATAATTAAATCATCGGAAAAAGAAAAGACCATCAAGTTACTGTCACAGAATTTAGACTTATTAAGAATTGCAAGGGTATTCCTGAGTCTAAGCAATGTTTATACAAGTAAAGAGGACAAAAGCACAAATTTGCACAATTATTTTACATTGCTTTATATCTATCCAGCAATTTCTTCTGTAATGCCTTTTTTTTTCAAAGTTTAAACATTTTAAGCTTACATGTTTTGAGATACTGAATATGTGTTATCTGTGATGTGTTATGTCATGGGTTTGTATTGTTATAATTTTGAAATATTGAAAAAATAATTTTTGTAAAGTAGAGTCAAATCAGACCACATAGTTATACAGGCTGGTTGAAGCCTAAACATGTACAGTTGTTATAGGGGTTTATAATTCTCATTTCTCCTGATTGCATTTCAATGAATTATAAATACAGATGATAATCATTTTTTCTTATTTCTCTGGTAGCATAAAACAAGAGGGCCATGATGGCCCTGAGGTCGCTCACCTGTATATAGCCCCCCCCCCCACCCCCGGGCCAATTTTTACCCAAGGGCTTTTATTTGTTTATTTGAACAGACTTGGTAGACACCCATAAGAAGATGTTTCATGCTAAACATCTAAGTTCTAGCTCATTGGGTTTTTTAAAAGAAGATTTTTTAAGTTTTTACTATACACATATAGTTTAAAACAATGACACCCCTGGGGCAGGGCCAGTTTTGAACCCAGGGCTTTTATTTGAACAAACTTTGTAGATATTTACTTAAAGATGTTTCATGCTTAATATCTAAACTCTAGCTATTTGGGTTTTTTCAAAGAAGATTTTTAAGTTTTTGCTATACACATATAAGGAAAATCAATGACCCCCCCGGGCGGGGCCAGTTTTGACCCCAGGGCTTTCATTTGAACATACTTGGTAGACACCCATTAGAACATGTTTCATGCTAAATATCTTAGCTCTAGCTCTTTGAGTTCTTTAAAAGAAGATTTTTTAAGTTTTTACTATATGCATATAGGGAAAATCTATGACCCCCTGGGGCGGGGTCAATTTTGACCCCAGGGCTTTTATTTGAACAAACTTGGTAGACATTCACTAGAAGATGTTTCATGCCAAATATCTAAGCTCTAGCTCTTTGGGTTCTTTAAAAGAAGATTTTTTAAGTTTTTACTATATGCATATAGGGAAAATCAATGACCCCCCGGGGTGGGGCCAATTTTGACCACAGGGATTTAATTTGAACAAACTTGGTAGACATTCACTAGAAGATGTTTCATGCTTAATATCTAAGCTCTAGCTCTTAAGGTTCTTTAAAAGAAGATTTTTTAAGTTTTTACTATATGCATATAGGGAAAATCAATGACCCCCCAGGGCGGGGCCAATTTTGACCCAAGGGCTTTTATTTGAACAAACTTGGTAGACACTCACTAGAAGATGTTTCATGCCAAATATCTTAGCTCTAGCTCTTTGGGTTCTTTAAAAGAAGATTTTTTAAGTTTTTACTATATGCATATAGGGAAAATCAATGACCCCCTGGGGCGGGGCCAATTTTGACCTCAGGGCTTTTATTTGAACAAACTTGGTAGACACTCACTAGAAGATGTTTCATGCCAAATATCTAAGCTCTAGCTCTTAGGGTTGTTTAAAAGAAGATATTTAAAGATTTTTCTTTCGGTTGCCATGGCAACCAGAGTTCTGCATGGAATTAAATTCTTTGAACAATTTTTAAAGGTGACCACCAAAGGAACATTCCTGTGAAGTTTGGATGAAATTGGCTCAGTGGTTTATGAGGAGATGTCATTTAAAGCAAAAGTTTACGGACGTACGCCGGACGGACGCCGGACGAAAAGTGATCACAAAAGCTCACCCTGTCACTTTGTGACAGGTGAGCTAAAAAGATCATTACCTTTTCTTGAGAAAAACTAAAACATAATAAGACATCTGCCATTTTTTTTCACTTGGATTAGATAAGCACTAGATCGATAAGGTAAGTTTAATCAGGTAACCTAAACAGCTTGTTTCTTTGTGTGTTTTTTTCTGCTCTTCTTATACTTAATGTACTTGATGTACTTAAAACTGTTGCTACAGATTTTCATGCAAAAATTCAAATGGAGAGCAAACAACCAGCCTCTAAAATAAATGTATGATTTTGATACAAGATACAGACTGGTATATTATTTCAAAAGATCTTCGCTTGTTTTCAAAGACTGTTCAAAAATATAAACTTGTAGGAATAAAAAAACAACATCATATAGAAATCTGTATGGATTTCAAAAACATTTATTTTTTGCACAACAAATTTAGAGATTTGACAGAGAAATTATTCAAGGGATGAGACTGTCCTGTAATTTATTCACTCTTGTGAAATTTATCATTCTGAAGAAAATTTCATGTCTATTCATGAATAAAGATCCGAATGACCTTTCATGGGAAATGATGAAATCATGGTATTATACTGTCACACCTTGTTTTGACAACATTTAGTGTAAACACAAGACTACCAATAATCATGAAGGAATCATAAAATCAAAGCTGCACGAAGATGAAATCAAATTAAAATCTCACAAGTCAGTGCAAAAACATGTTGACAAAATACCCGTAAAGTATCACAAATTATTCTTTAGTCACCATTTTATCCTATATAGTAATAAAACCTTGGCAATAAATGTCATTTTAATAGTAAACAATATTATGTTTACACTGACTATTCACAATTTCTCCCAGGATTTCAATTATTTGCACATGCACACAAAAAACTACAACAACAACAACAAATATGTATATCAAGTCGGTTCTCCCCCATCTAGCATGTAAACCCAGCTTGCTGCAACAGTTACCAAGTCTTTAAAAAATCCATTATCCAAGATTTCCCCAGAGTAAATATGAGACAGAAATTGTCAACGTAACAAAATCTAATTTTATCGAATCTTTGACAAAATATTGTTGTTTAACAGGAAATTCTGATTCAGTGAAAACCAATTACGTGCGAGTACGGGGAATATGACAAGTACGAGCATATACTATCACAAGTAGTCACACGAGGGCGAGATTTGCCTCAGGTTAAAGAAAAGCAAGAAAATAAAATGGTTCGTATTTGATAAACTCATTACTGTAGAAAGAGAAGTGCGTAGGTTTAAAGATGAATGTAATAAATACAAAGTTGAGAATTCAATTATGTGATCTGATATTTAACTACTTTCTGCAATGTTGCTAAGGAAACAAGATATTTCGTTGACTGTACGATTTATTGCAATATGTCAATGGAAAACAGAAAATATCAATGAATCCTGGATCATTATTTGTAAATCTTTTTTGTGTAATATTCAGGTCACCTATGATTCCCATAAGGAAAGTTTAAAGGGACTTGACTGGAGCTTTTTCGACCTGACCAGACAGTGTTATTTTTTATGTAACAGTTCTTTAATATTGGTCTTGAACAATAACTTGCAAGAAAAATATTAGATGATAAGATCATTTACTCATTTTGATTTTCCGCATAATAATCCTTTTATTTTGCAAAATTAAAACCTTTTAAATGCTTTAATGTAATTTAGGCTACAAATCACATTAAAATTCATTTTTCAATTTAATAGTGAGTATAATTCAATCTCATCTTTTGCAAAATGTTCCAGTTTTAGGGTCATAGTTGAATTATTTTAGAATTTCAAATTGCTTTAGGGTTTTTGACTGCAGTGGAGCTCCTTTAAGAGAAGAAATTGAAGATATTAGAGCAAAACAGTAAGTAGCAGAGAACTTGACAGGTTAGAGGTGTGTGTGACTAATACATGTATGTTTTTCTGGTACTCCATCTAGTTATATATACTAGTATTATAAGTTATTAAGATTTTTGACAGGTTATATGGCCCTATTAAACAGTTGTTCGTAAATATAACCAGAGCTGCTAGGCGATGGTTATATTGCAAACAACCGTTTATATACGGCCATATATCCTGTCAGAAATATTCATAACGAATTTATAATACACCAAGCATCATTTTTAGAGGAATAAAGCGAGATTTCTTTATAAATCCACAGCAGCCGTGTACATAAAACTATATAAACATCACCGTTATGCAATGAAAAGTGACGTTACAAACGTGCAGTATTATAAACAAATTTACGTACCTAGCAGTTTAGGTTTTTATTGTTCTTTTTGGAACATACCTAGCTTGTGGCTTGTGAAGATTCTTTGAGGTTACACCATGTTTTCTCCCGTGCGTAGTTACATCCAGTACCTCACCACTTACTCCACTTCTACACCATGCTATGGCTGAAAGATATCACAGTAATTTAGGAAATTTGCATTCATTGTTATTAAGGACGTTTTCGGGAGTTTTCATATAGACATATAGGCAAAATTAAAACTGTTCAATAGAATTTCTTAAAAATTGGCATGTTGTTAGAATATGATAACAGAAACATTTTAAGCGAAAAAAAAATTGGGGTCACCGTTCTTATTTTCGAGTTATCTGCCCTTGAATTGGACTTTTTCGTTAAATTCAAGGGCAGATAATTTGCAATGAAAAAAAAAACAATACATTTTTTTTCTTATTTTCATGAAGCTTACCTTCGTTTTAGTCGATATGCAAAATTTCAAGAAGGAATTTAGAGTGGATAATTTTTCTTCCACTTCTTTTTTAAACCTGTGCATATTTTTCTTAAAAATGGCATTTTTTAAAGAATTTAAAGTATCTCTATTTTCATTGAAAAAAAATTAACAGAAATGATATAAGGAATTGTATGTTATTATGTATCGTACCCAACAGTAAAAAGAAAAATATAATTCAGAGGTAAAAACAAGAATTCATTTAAGTATATATAAGTTATCTGCCCTTGAATTGACCTCAAATAAGTAGAAAATCCTGATTCAGGGGCAGATAACTCAAAAACAAGAACGGTGACCCCAATTTTTTTTTCGCTTAAAATGTTTTTGTTATCATATTCTAACAACATGCCAAGTTTAAAGAAATTCTATTGAACAGTTTTAATTTTGCCTATATGTCTATATGAAAACTCCCGAAAACGTCCTTAAGATATACATTAAGAATGTTTTCATGAGTTTTCATATCCACAAATAGGCAAAATTAGAACTGTTCAATAGAATTTCTTTAAACTTTTTCATTAGAAGTATTTTCTATATATTTTCTGATATGTCTATAATTATGAAAACTGCCGCAAACGTCTTTAAAATGTGACCGCTAAAATTGTAAAACAAGCTTATCCAGCATGCTTATACATTATTAATGTGACTAACAACACAACCAAAATACAAATATACAGTCACTCAAATTAATTATGACCAACATATAATAATATTATGTTAGTCAGGATTCTTACCAGAGGAACATGGAACAAGTTTTATATCTTTCCCAGACTTTACAATCTGCTCCAAAACTACTTCTTTACTATGACAAAATCTGGTCTCAGATTGGTAAAGTTCCGGAAAATTAATCTTGTAGCCTGATGGAAGATGCAGCATGCCTGCTTGGTTACGGTCAACTATGGCACGCTGTATAGCACTTCTGTTGTATGGACACCTGAAGTGTACGATCAAAAGCTGACATATTGTCGAGGCAGGATTATTTGTATTTTTACTTCACAAAGGCAAATTATGCCTCAGAAACAAATTAATTGTTACTCCTTTAGAAAGGTCAAACATGAATTTTATTATGTTTAAATAATAGTTTAAGAGAAATGTTAGATGCTTGTTATTAAAAAAAGTAAATAATTAATGTGAAATAATTTGTCTTAAAAGTAGCAAAATGTAAACAAAATAGTATTTTGACTTCCATACAAAATACCTTTTCACTATATAACTGTATTTATTGTCAAAAGGAAATAGATGAAAGATGGTTCTGGTCAATCAGGCCAGTAAGTTTTTTTTTGATACTTTAAAAGTACACCAAAGAAGAAGCTTTTTAGTAATAAAAATAAAAGCAGCAGCACAGTGGACCTTTAATTAGTGAAGGAATAATGAATTATGGCAATCATGACAATGAGATTTATATATTTTATTTTCTATTATGAAAATAAAATATTTGAAACTGGGCACATAATGTAAATCCATATTTAGTGAATAAAATTTATACTCATATTTACTCTGTGAGAAATAAATTCATATGAAACAAGGCTAAATTGACAAGATAAGATCAAATTATGATTTATATTGGACTATCATATGCTGGAAGTTCAGGTTACATTTTTTAAGGAGTTAAATAACAAGAGCTGTCCGTAAGACAGCGCGCTCGACTTTTTTATTGCTTGCCAATAAAAAAAGTTTTTGCAGTAAAAGGCAATACAAGAATCTCTGTATTTTTAAAGTGAACAATGGCCATGAGCATTAAGATATTTAGTGAAGAATTATTTTACTGAATTGTGTGATACCCTTGAACACTGCAGCAAAGTTTGAAATGTTTAAGTCAAAAGAGGGCTGGTAAGAAAGAAAAAAAAACTAGTTGTTTGATACCCTTGAATATTACAGCAATGTTTATATGACATAATTTATGGTAAAGTGAACAAGTGGATAGGAATGAATTTTTTTAGATTTTTTAAGTTTTTTAGTGCTTGCCTATAATACAAAACATTGACAGTTAAGGGCCATAATTCAAATAAAATCTTTGACAGAATTACCTTCTCCTGGACATGTTTGGGAATCATGATTGTAAACAAGTATTCCAACTTTCAAATTAATATCTCAAACAGTTCAGTCAAAAAGTGGACTGGTACTAAAAACTTAACCAAGATTCTAAGTCGATAAAAGGCCTTAATTTTTAAAACAAATCCTTGACAGAGTTACCTTCTCTTGCGTACAGATGGGGTAATGATGTGAAATAGCATTAAAAGTTTCAAAGCAATATCTCAAAGGGTTAAGGCAATAAGTGGATTTTACCCATATTCAATGTATTTTCTAAGTCAAAAAGGGGCATAATTCTGTCAAAAACCTTGACAGAGTTATGTCCTCTTGTCTGTTGATGAAGGTCGTGATGGTAAACAAGTATGGTCAGTTTCAAAGCAATACCTCCAATGGTTTTGAAATAAAGTGAGGTGGTACAAAAAACTTAACCAAGCTCAATACACTTTCTAAGTCAAAAAAGGGCCATAATTCTGTCAAAAACCTTGACAGAGTTATGTACTCTTGTCTGTAGATGGAGGTTATGATGGTGAACAAGTATGGTAAGTTTCAAAGCCATACTTGTAATACTTCTGAAATAAAGTGGGGTGGTACGAAAAACTTAACCAAGGTGTGACGCCGACGCCGACGCCGACGCCGGGGCGAGTAGGATAGCTCCCCTTTTCATAGAAAAGTCGAGCTAAAAATGAATATTCATGCAGTGAGATATATACCATATTCACACGGTGAAATATATAATCACTCACTTAAAGAGATATATTAATATTCACTCAACGAGATGATACTGGTTTACTCTGTGGTAGATTTTGCAGCTGTGTGAGTTAAATAGAATCAGAATTATATTCAACAATGTATAATGACATCTTATTTCATACTACAAGTTTTTTTCTCTTCGTTTTATCAAACTTGAATTTTTTTGCTTGAAAAAGAATAGGGGCTGTATTTGAAAAATTTTATGTTTTCCCGAAAACCCGTCTATTTGTAAAAGACGGGACCCGTCCAAAATCTTCAAGATTCACAATAAAAAAGTCTATTTTCATAGCTGGTTCCTCGTCATGATATTGTTGTCAGAGACTCATACCCATTCATTACATAATTTTCATAGACTAGCATCCAGTTAGGTAAATTTGTAATAGATTGGACAAATTTTTTTTGTCCTTGAAGACTTGTTTTTCATTATGAAATTGAGAACTTATAATTTACTCTTCCTTAAAGTAAAACAATATCAACAAAATAATATAACTGGAAGAAAATAAGAGAGAAAAAAATCTATTTAAAGTCTTATCCATCTTAAGATTAAAGTTATTTTTGATAAAAGGAAATTAATTTCATCTCCAGGAAATGTTTCTCTCAAATGTGGTCATGTATTGTTTTCTATCTATTTTCATTTTATCTACTCAATAAGTTTCTATATTTGGAACATAAGATACCTTTTTATGGTCAGGTCTTTATAATTACAATTCCTAGACTCGTTATTGTCCATTTAACGTTTTCTAACTCTTTTTATCTATATAGAAATTTCTTAAACCTCTCCTACATTACATAAAAGGAAGCTGAGACTGCATTTAAAATTGTCTCTTTTTCCTTCTCTTTACTAATCTAAAATGTTGATTACTTTCCCCATTTAATACTTCTAAGTATAAAAAATGTAGTCAGCTGATGCAAAATTTAGAAGGGATCATCTAATTCTAATTTTGATTCAAATCAAGTCCGAAAGTAATCCATTCAGGCCTTAAAATAAATTCAGAACAAATTGTTCCAAGCTTTTTCTTCAATATTTAGCTTTTGAAGTTTTGAGGTCTAAATACACATAATTATACGATGTTTGGGGATGTTTCATTCATTATTTCATCAGGATAAATTGCTCAATCACATTCTTTTCTTAATAGTTTTGATATATACCAAACATTAGCAACCTACTGGTATATATTTATATACACCTTATACTACCAACCTATATAGATATATACACCTTATACTACCAACCTACATAGATATATACACCTTATACTACCAACCTATATAGATATATACACCTTAAACTACCAACCTACATAGATATATACACCTTATACTACCAACCTATATAGATATATACACCTTAAACTACCAATCTACATAGATATATACACCTTATACTACCAACCTAGATATATACCAAACACTATCAACCTATATAGATATATACACCTTAAACTACCAACCTACATAGATATATACACCTTATACTACCAACCTAGATATATACCAAACACTATCAACCTAGATAGATATTATTTTATATACACCTTATGCTACCAACCTAGATAGATAATTATATACACCTTATACTACCAACTTAGATAGATATATTCACCTTAAACTACTAACCTAGATATATACCAAACACTATCAACCTAGACAGATATATACATACACCTTATACTACCAACCTCAATAGATATATACACAATACTACTAATATAACCAAGACAGATATTTACACTTAACACTAACAAACCTAGATAGATATATCCTAAATACTACCAACCTAGATTGATATATACACCTTATACTACCAACTAAGGTAGTTATATACCAAGTTAAGTGATATTTCATGAAGTGGTAAATGAAAAGATGACATTCAAACTTTATTTGTTACTATTTCAGCTGTAGAACATCTATGAAAATATTATAACTATCCATGGAAAATTTGGCAATTCAAAGATGCCAAAATTTAATATCCTTTAGTAAAAAGTGACTCAGACAAGTGATATAGAGGAGAATCGTGTTTAAATGAGTAATTTGTTCTTTAATACTGGAGGTTCAGCCTATCTAACATATTAGTACAGAATGAGTAACCATGATTTAACATTTAATATCCTTTTCTATTTAAATACTAGTATCATGTTTTTGTTCAAAGTTCTTCATTTGCAATAACTGTACTTTTAATCTACAATTTCCATAAATAGTACAAATTTTTCTACTAATATCTTGCAAAAAATATATTCATTAGAATGTATAAAAGAAACAACAACAAAAAATCCTTGTCAATGATTCAACATGTCTAAAAATAGTTCTATATATGACTCCAGAATATTTATAGCCAATAATACTTTTCTTAATATGAGCATCAGTGACAAAAATAGTTTCACAAACAAAAAGTCTTAGAAAATCTGATAATTACAACTATGAGTCAACAGTTTCCAGCTATTTACAGCCTTGAATTTCTTCAGCATGATAGAGTAACAGAAAGTCACATAATTATGAAGATTCAAGTTACTATTAACTTATGTTTTTCTATAACACTATTTGCCTAATGCCTTTCTAAGACATTATTTTCCCTTTTTGTATTTTCTGATCGCAAATCAGAAAATTCAATGCTGACATTCAATCTCTGACACAGAAGCTTCACAACAAACCTAACAACAAGTAGTTCTCAAAACAGCTTAAAACTAGCGATGTTAAAGAAAGAAATATTTTTATTTTGTTACAAGTATCAAACAAATTACAACGCATTCAAAGTTTAAAAGTAGCGTTGGCTTATAGAATTGTCAATTCACCAAATACGCGGATGAATATGAAAATGCTTTTTTTAGCGATGTTGATGACCAGTAGTGGAACATATACATGTCCGAGAAGATTTTCGCAAAATTATTTACATCAATGTTAAACAACAGGTATATCGTGAACAAAATACCTCAAAATTAATTTTGATTTCTCTGAGTATTTGTTATGACCATTTTTTTTTCTACTACATTATTTACCTACTTTTTCCTAAGATATTATTTACCTTTTTTTTTTCTAAGATATTATTTGCCTATTTTTTTCTAAGATATTATTTACTTTTTTTTCTCAGACAAATTTACCTACTTTTTCCTAAGAATCATTATTTACCTATTTTTTAAGATTGAATATTAATATTCAAAGTAAATCAATACTTTATAACAGTTTACTATGTCAAACATTATTAAATAAGAAACTCTCAGATTTAAATATCAAAAGAGCTGCACCCTGATTCCCCTAACATGACTCTTTTATGACAAACAGAAATGTCTGAATGTTTTGTGAAGACAATTAGATTTATCTGACATCTTGAGCAATAAAGAAGACCACTGGAATGCTCTTCTGTAAAATTCTATTGATGTCTTAATGTCTCTTACAGTTAATTTAACTGTTTACAAATCTATTTCAAAGACATTTTAAATTCAGTCAGACAGAAGGCTCAGATTTATTCTCAATCAAGGTTTTAGAAGAAGGCAATAAATAGCAAAATGTTTTTGTTATTGATGATACAAAATGTAATTGTGTTTGCTCTTTGGTTATGATGATTTTTTTCATTACTGAGAGCTGTTTCTTATTTTTCTTTTTGAGATTTAGATCTATTCTTTATTTCTAGTTTTGATAATTTTTTAGTTTTTATGATTAAAGAAAGTGAAAATTGTTTCCTTAAAAAAATAAAACCAATGAATACTTGCATTAAAAACTGGAAATGTGTCCATCTGAGGCACCTAAATGCTCCCACTTCATTTGCCTGTCCCAGTGGTATATTTACATATTTTATAAAGGTCAAGTGTCATATTTATAAGTAAGATTATACAAGTATAAATAATAGTATTATAATTTATAAAATTCACAAGCCTGTGACTGGGCAAATTCTAGTTATTCATTACACAAGGATTTCACAGCAAGTGTCACTGTGACCTTGACCTTAATATCACCTCAAAATCAATAGAGGTCATCTCCAAGCCATCTGCAATGTCCAAATGAAGTAACATAAATGATGGCTTATAAACATCTCAAGAAATTTACCAAACAAGAATAACAGGTTGGGAATGGATGTATGGACAGATATACTTATGATATGGACCACCCGTAATTATGCTTCCATTTTTCTGAGTGGCAGCATAAAACTGGTTGAAAGTACTTACGATTACATAAATACATAAATATTAAGCATGATAAAAATAATTTTTGAATAGATAATTTCAAATTATTAAAGACATATGATAAAATGTACCAACTAAAAAAAAAGTTGTCCATTATAAAACATATTTTCAAAAGGAAAAACTACCTTCCAACAGTCAATGAGGAGAGATAAATAGGGGAACAAAAGAAGTGAGACAACAGCGCCCCCTGGAGGCCCACAACATTCCAGCGTGACATCTTATCACTGCAAGACATTGACAGAGTTCTCTCCCCTCTACCAGGCTTTATCCTGAAATAAAAGGTTTTATCATAATTACAAAAGGTTTTAGTCATTCGAGCTTGACATTATCGGAGATTTATCTAATACATGAATATTACAGATAAGTAAATAACTGTAATGTTTAGTGATTTATCTATTACTGGTATTTCTTATTCTTGTCTCATTAAAACATGTACTTTAGTCAATTGAGAGTAATTTTTACAAAATTTCAGATAGCAGACGACAATTAATACTAAAACCACTTTTCTTTAACTGTATTTTATACTGATACATCGATATTGTCTGGAATATTCAAAAGATAACAGTTTTAAAAGGAAATAATTTCACAAAATTGTCTTCAATTTAATCTCCTGAACATAACACTAATTTTAATATGCTTACTCTTGCTTCACAAATAATGTTTAGAAAGGGGTAATAATATTCAATCTACAGGCAATCATTGTTATTTCCCTTCAGCCAGCAGCTAAGGGACTTCGAATATTACTTTTGATATTCTTTTATTTTCAATCATCAAAATAATTATACACTGGAAAAGAAACATTCATGTACATTTGTTTTACATTTTGAAATACAGCAATCATTGCTTTGGTGTAATTAGGATAGAATCTCTTTCAAAATGGAATGTTAGGTTCACAAAGAAAATTACATTTAAATCATTGCATTAATTTAATTGTTAGAAGCATTATGAAAACTGCTAAGTTAACTTTGAAAATTAGAACACTTATAAAACAAGCACATGCTGTCAGGTGTTCTAGATTTGTTGTACTGTTTCATCTTATTTAGACCAAGATAAAGGTTTGCATTAAACCATTTAATGCTGAACTTAAAACTGTTCATCACATACCTGTGCCACTTTTGTGAAACCATAAATATGGCATAAAACAGCTGAGCATATATTTTGACATGATGTCACATGCGTTATACAAAAGTAGCATTATAGCACATTAATATTAGCTTTACACTATGGGCACATCACTGAAAATGTGATCGTTTGTTTCTACTGTAAACATTTTTTTTAGTATAAAACTACAAGAATAATACATTTGTATATTTATGTAGGTTAATTACTAAATTTATTGAATTCCTTGAATAAAATAACATTATGCTTGCATTATGTACTTTTATTAAACTTGTTCAATAATTCTGTACTGAACCTACACCCATTTAATGTCTACTCTATCTTTTTTTTTTAAAAAAAAAACCTTTACAAAAAGCATAATGTTATGTAAAATACAAAAAAAGTTGTTTTGCACTTTGTTTCACTGAAACATAAAAAGAAACAAGTTATTAAAACATACTTTAAGCCGTAGTGTGCTTGTGGCAAACTTTATATATGCATGTGACCAGTGCAAACCAAGATTAACATGCACATCTATGCTGGGCAGCAAGTGTCCTTATTTTGAAATTTTCCCTAAAAATGATCCATGGTTTTGTCCAGATTGAAAGAAGGACAAGTCCATTTAAGATATAGAGTGTTGTCAAGGTTAACTTGAAAGGAAAAATATAACACTTTTATTATTTTCCATTAGTGACATTATGCTCATATTTCCATCGTCAAGTTGAACTGAATTGACAACATATTTCGAAAGATTGACTGTTATAATGGTGATTAACCAATACTCAATATTGGAAAACGTTTTTGATAGAATATATATCCTGCCTTAAATATAAAAAGACTGCCCCACTCTTTTTATAAATTGACTGTTTCAGGTAAATTTTGGTAGATATTCAGATATTGTTTGGGGGGCAACGTGTGTAATTTATCTTTCATGAGAAGTAAATAATAAAAAATTGAAAGACATTCAAACAAAATGTAAACTTGTTTTGACTTTTACCTGTTTACTCATTATATACCCTTGTATGGGCATAATGTCACTTTAATCCTTAACCTGGTGGAACCAAAACAAGTTGGCTTCTGTCAACAGTATAGATTCAGACCAGCTTGCACTTAACGTGTAATCTAACCTGACTCAGACTATGCTATTGGCTGCAGTCTGACCAGGCTCTATACTGATCAGGTCTAGGATTTCATGATATTTATGGACAGTCTGTAAATTTTTGGACAATCCATAATTTTAAAGATTTTTTTATCTGTAAATTTACAGACATTAAAATATGAAAATAGTAGAATTAAGTGGCATTAAAACTCAAAACCGCAGGTTAAAATGAATAAGGTTATAAATGTATAATATGAATATGGTAAGATTCAGAACAATTTTATGATTTTCAATTTTCACTTTTTAAAAAAATTCAAAATCATCATACAACTCCATTACCTTTGTAAATATAAACAATCAATAAAACAACTTGTTTTAAGTTGTGGATTTTAGTGTAAAACTAAAAACAGCAAATTCCACTTGAATATCTGTAAATTTATGGATTGAAAAATCTTTAAATTTCTAGACTACTGGGATCCGATGTATTTACCGGACAATCAGTTTACCCGACAAAAGCTATCGGATTCCTGCCGAATAGTGCTTTATTTTTTTATTTGATTTAAAAAATAATACAAAAAAATCGTACACACACTTTCTATTTAAAAGTAAATAGCAACAAAACCACTCTCAGGTTAATATTGTTGATTCAGTTTTTTATCTACTAACGTGCCCTTTTGTTTACTAGTTATTTCATGACCTAGTCATGCGGGGGAATTATCTGTTCTGCGCAGCCCGAATATGGAGGCCCTAAATAATGGGTTATTTTAGATAGGTTTTACTTTTAATTCTTGTCAACGTTACATTAGGAGACAATCGTAACACATTTTAATGATAAAAAGTAATTTGAAATTTCGTCCAAACAGTATCTCGTTGTTGACTTACAAAGAAATGCAAATTAAAAAAACATATTTTATAAGGAAACAGGTTAGCCCATGGGAGGAAACTCTACACGAAATGTAAATAAAATAAGATTTTATGACTTTTGTAACATGCTTCACGATGACCAAAAGGTAACTGTATGACAAAGAACAGAATTCCATTTGAATATCAAAATGTTTCATACGGATCAGGAAGAATCAATACGATAATTGTGTTAATAGTGTTAATTTCAATTACACCTTATATATTGGCCTCTACGTAACAGACATGGCAGCCGTGTCTATTTCTAGTGACATACTCGGTTTTTCCAATGTTTTAACATTGCCTTTCAATAGTCGTACTTTCCTTGCTGATTATTTTAAGATTAATTTTAATTCACAAATTCAAAAATTTTGAAACACAATGTCCGGTTAATTGAGTTGTCTACATGATTTTTTTCCTCTTATAATGCCCTACTTTAAAGACACATTTCTACAGTCAAATGTTTGATTTTATGTTTGATAAAGTAATGTTTACGTGTATTAAGAACTCAAAATTATTTGGGTAAAATTCTATTCTTTTTTATTATTTTGAATAAAAGTTAAATGTAAAAAACATAATATTTTGTCCGGTAATATGTAGGATCCCAGTATCTATAAATTTACTGAAAGTCCATAAATATCATGAAATCCTAGACCTTCTGATGGCTAACAAACTTCAAAATTTCATCTCAATATCCCTAAAAAATGATAATGAACAGTTCCAATAAATGGAAGCTGGGTCATATAGTCCATTTAAATAAATCTGCAGGTTAAGTCTTTAGAAGTCAGACATGACACATGACAATAGCAGCTGTCAATTAAATCAAACTATACCAATCAGGACAAGATTGTTCTGTTGTATAATGAATACTTGTGTCAAATTCAGTCATCATTCGGAAGGTTTTAATCAACCTTATCATTAAATTCTGATGTCAGACCAAGAAAGCCTAATGTCTGTAACAGACAATATACGTCAGTGCTATAACAAGAAATCATTGCTACAAATACATGTAAGAATCCATGTAACTGTTCAATATATTGTAGCATCAGGGATGATGAATCACTCACAAACATCTGGTGGTCTGCAGCACATAGACCATATGAGCCGTGTCACGACAAAACCAACATAGTGCGTTTGCGACCAGCATGGATCCAGATCAGCCTGCGCATCCACGCTGAGTGAGTGAGTGAGTCTGATCAGGATCCATGCAGTGTTCGCTATCAGTTTCTCTACTTGTTATATAGTTGTAAGCGAACAGCATGGATCCTGATCAGACTGAGCGGATGGGCAGGCTGGTCTTGATCCATGCTGGTCGCAAACCCATTATGTTGGTTTTGTCATGACGCGGCTCATATGTTCTTGTGTTTCAATCACTCCTTTGGTACTGTCACTTTGAATCGATTGAGCTTACACTGTATAAGATAAAAATTGGTCATCATCAAGTTATGTCCATGTTAACGTCAAATTTATGTCAAAGATAGGTCAAAGCTATATCAAAGTTCATGTCAAATTAATGTCAAAATTATGTCAAAATAACGGGTAGTTTCATATTTATCATTTTCGGTTATGCCAGTTAACCAATAAATCTAATTAAGAACCTGAGAAAAGCTTTATCCAAAAACAATAAAACTTCTCATTAAAATATGGTTAAAAATCTCACAAATTGAAAAATAAGAAAACATATAAAAACAATTAGCTACCTTGCATAATGGACCTTTAACAAATTAATTAATTGATATGAATTTTTGTTATTTGTTAATATCAACTTCAATTTCATTAAAAAAACCTACAAATATCAAATTTTCAAAAAACAAGACTCCAGAAAGTCAAACCATATTGACTGGTTTTATATCATGAAGGAAAACAAAAGCAGTAATGAAAAGGGGCATAATCTTAATCTTGCAATATTTCAGACATTGCAAAGGTTTAAATAGATATTTTTCAAGATAAAGGCCAAATAATTCTCAGTATTGCAGTATCTGATAGAAAGTTCAAACAAAAATCATAAAATAGAAATATGATTATCTGGTTACCATGACTACAGGAAGTCATTGCAAATTTTTGAGAATAAGTATAAAAAGATCAAAGATGTAGAGACAGGGAAAACTCCTGATTTACATGATTCAAGTACAGTATGTTACGTAAATTCTGATGATACAAAATTAATGTACT